TTTATTACTTTATGTCCTTCTGTCATTCATCTGTCTGTATCACAATAGCCTTGTAGTTTTAAAGTGTTTGTGCTTCCAAGTTGAAGCCAACAATTTGTTGTATATTTTAAATACACAAAGTAATGTTTCACTACTTTGTAGTAATACATTTAGGGCTTTTGTAAGTAGTGTGCTAATTGCCCAGTAATATAGGATATGTCTGACTGTGTACAGTCTACAACATATCTTAACAATCCTACCATATTCATGTATAGTATTGTTTCATTATTACTTTTGTTTGTATTGTATGTATTGTTTGTATTGTTAGATAGATCTATTCCAGGAGTAATAGGTGTTTGTAGTGCCTTTTTGTTTTCAAAGTAGTAACACTTGATTATACTTTCAATATAATACTTTTGCTATAAGCTAATTGTTTGTTGTAGTCTATCTCAGCTTATTTCAATACTAAGTAACTAATGTATTTTGTTACTGTTAGTAAATACAATGTGTTGTCTTAATGTATGTTTAAATACTGTTATTATAGCAATAGTTTTGCTAATAATTGTAATATTGTTGACATACATAAATGTTACAAGAATTGTTTTATTATTTTGTTTCTTGTAAAATACAGTATAATCATAATTAGCTTGTTCTAATCCAATCTTAAGTAGTAGTTCAGTAATCTTCTTGTACTATTGTCTACCTGCTTGTTTCAATCTGTATAACACTTTATTTAAGTGTAACACCTGTCCAGGTTTAATATCTGTAAGTAGCCTGCCTAACAGCAGTTTCACATAGATGAGTTTGTCCTCATTTAATTCTCTGTAAAGATATGCAGATTTTACATCTATCTAATGTATTTTGTAGTTCTTAGATGCTGCCCAAGATAATAATAATTGTACTGTTGATAGTTTAGTTACTAGAGCAAATAAGTCATTAGAATAGAAGTCTATTCCATTCTTTTGAGTGTATCCTTACACTACAAATCATACTTTATATTTGTCTATTTGGCTGTTAGCCAGTCTTTTGATTTTATAGACAAATTTCATTCCAATTACATTTGTATTTGTAAAGGGGATAGTATATATCCATGCATTTTGTTGTTGAAGTGACTGTATTTCATCCTTCATAACTTTGATCCATTGTTCTTTGTCTATACACATTATAGTATTGTAATACATTAATAGATCATTATAGACTTTGTTAAGGAATTTGTTAAATTCTGTTAGATACATAGCTAGGTTTATATTGTCTTTGTAATTTAAACCTATAGTTTGTTTAACCAGTCTTCACTCTTGTGTAGAGCATTGTATGACAGGTTCTTTATCTTTATTATTGTTATTAGAAAGAGTTTCATTGTTGTTTGATGTATTATTGTTATGATTATTCTCCCCTTCAATCCTAGACATTGGTTTGTCTATGAATTGTACATTGTGCTCAACAGTAATTTTATTATCATAGCACACTAAGTGACCTTTACTGTTGTTATCATAACCTAGCTATTGTGTGTGTTAGCCTCTAGGTTGTAGTTTATACATTTGTTCGTTCTGTATAATACAATATGTGCTGAATTCTTGTATATTATCTATTTGATAATGTTTGTTATACTGTTTGTAATATAGCATTGCAAAATTAATAGCAACTCTCAGCATTCTGTTATAAATAAACGTTTAATATTGTACCACATATACCCAGAATTTTATAGGTAATTTTGCTGATAACAGACACATACATACACTGTTAAAGATAGTCTTATACATACATTCTGCAACTCTGTTCTGCTACAGTGTATTGTGTACTGTTAATCTATGTATTATTCCTTGACTTTCAATGTATGTAGTGAAGTCTTTACTTAGGAACACTGTATTGTTATCACTTTGGAGAGTTTTTACTCTTATACTGTACTGTATAAAGAGTTTCATTGTATACTTTACATATTCAGTGAAAGCATTGCTTTTATGCTACATAGGTAGCATAGTTACCTATTGTGTAGCATCATCTACAATAGTAAAAAGATATTTGTACTTGCTGTAAGCTTGTACTGGGGCAGGTCCCCATATATCAATATAGAGATGATCTCCATAGAATTGTGTAAGAGGTGTTGTTTGTATTTTTGGTATTTCATTGCATTGTATGTTTGCTTTGATACAATCTGTACACTGTACATTTTTATTGTCTGTTATCCTTTGACTTATAATCTCAGGATACTCTTGTATGAGTTTGTGCAAGTAATTGAAATTAACATGACCCATTTGTTGATGTAAATCAACAATAGTGATTGTGTTAATAGATTGTTTATTATAATGAGAAACTATCATATACAAGTTATTTTGTACATGTATTTCACCAATCTTTGTATGAGTAGGAGAATAAATAATACATTCATTGTTTGTTTTCATTAAAACATATCCTACTTTGTATAATAGTGCTTCACTAACAAGTATGAAGTTCAGATTGGGATGATAGTATATGTTTTGTAGTGAAATTGTATTCACCTTTGTATGCTCATCAGCTTTGTTTTATAGTTTTACATTAAATGTTATTACTCCACTTTTGCTAAGTGTGAATGACAATTTATTCACAATTGTAATGTTTATTAGGGTTGAGTTCCAAACATTTGTAAGACAGAACAAGTATGGAGTAGTGTGTACATTTGTACCAGAGTCCAATATATTAATACAATGTATTAGTTCAGTATCATTACAATGTATTGTGTTAATACATATGTTTGGATCATAATTGAACTCTTTAATGACTTCTTTTGTATTGTCAAATGAGTTCATGAAATTGTCTACTTGCATGACACCTTCCTCTTGTACTTTGAATGCTGAAAATACATTAGATTCAGTAGATAGAGCAGATTGAATGGGTAAGCTGCTAGAACTTGATGCTGAGGCTTCTACAATTACAGACTCTAGCATTAGCATTTCATTAATGTCTTCAATGAATACTGTTTCATTATTGTCTCCAATGAATACTACTGTATTAAGTGCAGGTTGAGACAGTGTAGTAGTAGTAGTAGAAGTAGTAGCTGTTTGCCTATGCTTTTTCTTTCAAGCTTCTGTTGTTTTGCTTATTGGAGGATTTCAGCAGTCTTTTGACATATGCCTGTACTTGTTACAGTTGTAGCATTTAACTTTATTGTAAGACTTTGTTTTGCCTTTAGCTACACTTTTGCCTTTTGTTTGTAGGCTGTCTTGTTCAGTATCTTGTTTTGTTTGAGAGTACTGAGAATGATACTTAGTATATGTGTTTTGTAATTTGTGTATCAGCTTAGCTGGTGTCAGAACATCTTTCTGAGCTACTGTAACTGTTGGTAGTTGATTATAATGGGTAATCTGCCTGTCTAGCATTGTTACTACCCATCTATACTCACAAGGAGTAGCAAGATTAATTGCTGAGATGTATGTATTGTTATTGAGGGCTTTATTATGTGTAGACAACTGTCTGTAGATTTGTTTAATGTTGTCTAATGTCTTATCAAACTGTGATACATACCCTTTTACTGTAAACAATGTGGATATGTCTACAGTATGTGTCATCATTGTTTGAACATTGTATTGTTCAGAAAGCACCTTCATAAGACTTCTAACACTTGTATGTGTTGTAAAGTTTGTATAAATTGTATCAGTTATTGTTTTTGTTATACAATGATACAAAACATTACCTGTACATATGCCAGCATCATTGGAGGAAGGGGGATTGTGCTCTAGATGGTCTAAGAGCATTATAGTAGTGAGTGTACTGTGTATACACAAGCACTATATCTTGTATCCCTTCACACTAGCCAACTTTTCTGTTCCCTCAAAGAACTTTGTAATGTCAGAGTCCTTCATCATAGCATTAACAAAGGTATGCATTATAGACAACATTGTAATGAGTTTGGGGGGAGAGGGAGGTCTTGGGCTTGGTGGTCTGGCAGGAGGCAAAGGCATTCTGTAAGAGTGAGTGTGTAGAGGCATTCAATGAGTACTAAGGCTCATAACCTTTTAACAAGTGTAGCAGGAGTGCCCCAAGTACTCTCTCTAATTGAGATATCAAGCAAGTATCTACCTTATATACTACATAGTGAAGTCTGATAATCCAAGACATTCCAAGTACAGTAATTCTACATAAGGCAATTAGGGATTTCCTAATCCAGAGCACAATCTAATAAAAATAAAAGAAGGAAGACAGGCTTACAGAGGGCAATGGGAAGGGATGATTGCTCTCACATTGTCATATGAGGACCCAGCCTAGGAAGGGGTACTGTCAGGAGTAGTGAGAGCACAGGGACTCTCAAACCACATCACTAACTCCCAGCCAAACACTAGGGGTACACCTCAAATGCACCAGTATCAAGCAACACAACCAACTCAAGACAATCCCCTGAGCCTTTTAAGAAAGATAAAAGGGTATGTAACAGCTTGAAATTAAAAAAGAAACAAAAAGGCTGTACATGTAGGAAGTTGGGAGGCATCAACCACAATCAAAGGTGATCGGGTGTCTGCCAAAGGAGTAGACTAGTACTGAAAGTTGGTACAGCCAGTGGGTGAGCTGCCTATGACTAGGCATTGCTGGGACTGTGTTGACCGACACATTGCGGGTGTCGACTCCCCTCACTCCAAGCGTGGGAAAAAACCCACAGACATGGAGGTCACAGGAAGAGTCGTCTTGAAATTGACCGACTCTCGATGATAGTGCGAGTTTTACTTAGGTTCGAGAAGTGCATGCAGGAAGAGAAATTAAACTGAATCAAATACAACAGACCAGAAGGAGTGAAGATTGCACCCCACTTTTCGTTTTCGTTGCTGTCTACTACGTGGTGTGTCCAGTGTCTAGTAGTAGTACTTCCTCAACTCCTTCCTCTGTGCCTGTGAACCTGTGAATTGCCAACCTCAGTGTCTACTTTTGTCATTCTGTGTGTTTAAATCATCATGTCTAACAATGTAACTGTGATTGTTGATCATGATTATGATCTCCCCCAACTGATATTCTTGACTTCTTGAAATTTGAGGATTGATACCTTGATGCTGTAATAATGATATCTATCAGTCTAAACGGCCAATAGGTCATTCCGGCGATCGGATTCTAGGCAATTGGGAAAAGTTATTAATAAAGCACCATGACGTCAATGAGTTCTAGACTGGACCTTGGCCAGTTTCAGTGTAGGGCTATAATTGTTTGGTGAACCTGAGAGGAGAAGCAGAGACTGATACTGTTTCGAGACTCAAGAGGCGGATATATGCTACACTCGCGTGATGTAATGGTTCTATGAGTTGAGCGTGATAGCAAATATCCTAGTACATGATATAACCAGTTATACAGTAATAAAGTACAGGATTACGATAAGAAATGAAGAAAATAACAACCATAAATAACTCCCAGGCCCATGCCTGAGGAGAAGGCCCGAAATGAAATGTCTCCAAGAAAGGCAACGAAAAGCGGATGTAAGAAAAAACAGTGAGCTACATGCAAAAGTAAACCATCCAAAAGACGAGTAAAATGTCGAATACGACGACGAAACGCTATCCACAAGCTAGCTGTAGTCCAAAAAAACGAAAGGTCCGGATCCACAGATGTATAGCTTAAAGTACGTTAAGGTGTCTAAGGGAGCTGAATAATGGCGTAGTCTGCGCTGTAACTTCCGGGGTCGTCGTCGCTTCCATGTTCCGCAAATACTAAAGTACAAGTAAACCGTGAATCAGTTAGGTAGCTCTTTTGTTTACTACAAGGCATATACTCCTTGTCAAGTTCAAGAGAGGGTGAAGGTGAATACGTACGAATGACTTGGAAATCATCTCCACTGGCCTCGGTGGGAGTCTGAATCTGGACTCGGCCATCGAGCAACGAGAAGTTCGACGCAAGTGGTTCGTCAGAGATTACTTCTCCTTCTTTGGCCAGGAATATCGCTGTCTTGGTGAACTCTCGATCTTTGGGTACTTCTGTCGTGTCCCTACAAACAAGAATTCAATCCGGTAATCAGTCTCAGTAGATTCAAAGCTCCGCAGAACATCAGAATAAGGGAAAATACTTTCGGTACGCACCAGGTAACATTATGATGCGTCGCAGCAAGCCATACTTCTCCATGCCTCGGATACGTTATCGGTACATACGGCACTTTCGGCGCAGGGACAGGCTGCCAGCCGATAGCAGGACGTTGCGGTGGAGAGAAATCTGATCCTGTATCTTTAGCTATAAGACCTTGGACTGAAGAGAGGACCGCTGGGGTCATGAGAAGCGTGCCAGCAAGCTTCATCGCAGATGAGCCGTGTAGTTGAGTTACAGGTGTAGAAACGGAGGTAGGACTATGTGCCTGAGGAATATGAAAATGGATGTGAAAATGGGTCTCTGCGAAATGATGGACGACGCTGAGCTGGGAGTCTAGTAAAGACCAGCCATCGAACGGGTTTGTCGGTCTCTGATTCCAGTTTAGACCAGACGTCTCAGCCTACCATCCAATATGGTGTCATTTCTGGATTGAGACCTGCTATCTTTGAACGTTTACAATTATACACGTGCTTAGAAAAGGCGTTTGTGATTAGTTTACCTTGTACCGTTCAGCAGCTAGATGAACCGAACTGGAGAAGAGCCAATGCAGAAAAAGACTACTCGTGGTTTTCAATTAAATATACTCAAAGAAAAATGTCCCTAAGCAATCTGGTTTCGTTGGTATAACGCATGTAAGTTCCTTGCAGTCTTCTGAATTTCGTGGTTTGCTGTTCTGTTCTTGTGATGTCAAGGTTGAGTCTAGTTGACAGTAGATTGGATAGTGGATTTGGCCACAACCCAAACATGGCAGTGGTATCCATCCTAGGCAATCGGGGATCGACACAATTGATTTTGCATTTGCAGCATTCCCAGTTCCCTGCCAAATGCAGCATATAATCGTGTAGGAATAAGGGCCTAACAGATAGCTCCTCACAATCTAACCCAACAAATTGATATAGTACAAATTCAGTAGCCTCAAACAATGCAACACAAGTCTACCACCTTTGTACAGTATTTCTGCAATGCAGCTTTGTGAGCTTAACCAAATACACTTACACAATACATCACTACTGAAGGTGAAGTGCACAACTGTGAGACATCTCCCTATTGAGTATCTTTCACACAATCTTAATAAACATGAGATATAGTTTATATTACAACCCGTGCACTTTAGGTACAATTATTCAAGTTGACGTGACAAAGATTGTTCCACGTGTTTGGCCCACATATATGCCTCTACTTATCCTGCATAACCACCGCTGTCAGATTTATTTCACTGCAATCATGCATCCTGTAGCAATAAAAATAAGTAAACCAGGGACAGACTTGCTCGGATGTAAATGTCCTACTCAATATCTTTTCATGGAGCCGAAACACCAACCCGCAGTAGCCTTCAAGAAGACGGCGTAGTGGTCGGGGGAGGGATACAGCACCCGGTCTCTCCAGGGAGGCAGAAGTGCTGGCAAGCTCTTTCCTCGAGGGTAGGAGTCGGCGTCGGAGGTGGAATGCAGCAACCAGTTTCACCGGGGAGGCAGAAATGGTCACATCTCAGGACCGGAGTCGAGGAAGTCGAGGTTGGGGCCGGAACGCAGCAGCCAGTCTCGCCTGGGAGGCAGATGTGGTCACAGACGATGGTCGCAGCGCCAACCTGGCTCGCGAGGAACAGAGAGGTGACGACGGCGGAGATTGCGGAAGCGTAGGAGAATTTCATCGTTGCGAGTATACAGTGCAGAAGTTTCGTAGAGAATTAAACGGCACTTTGTGAGGTGAGATGAATAGACAGCCCCGAGACTATCGTTTATATAGTTTTCACCCGTCAATCCTAGAAGTCCGGCTGTTTCATGAATTACAGAGCGGGACATATTTCAAGATGCGACGGCAGCTGCGACGCTGCAGCATGATGCCTATTACCAGAAATTCCACGATTCGCCAAGTTCGCCGCTCCGTATGATGCTTTGCGGTTGATTATATTATGTGCTTGTATCACGGAGACCCTCCAGCAACTCCAAACCAGTGTAATATTTCGCACACTCGCCGTCATGAAACGCGATTATATCATATCATATGTACGGGGCCACGGCGAAAGAAATGCAGCGATCTTGCAGACCGACGCAGGGAATTGAATTGCCGGAACGGAGAATAGTATCAGAATGCAGACTCTTGACGGAGGAAGGGTGTCGCCTTCGGATGAGCATTCTATGCAGAGGAACCAACAGTCCAATTAGTTAGCATCTGATGGTGAAGTGTACAAGTCCATGTAGCAAGGAAGATCGCCTCAGCATATTGAGTGTATGCACTGAATAGTCGAGAGGGTGGGAGGTTGATTTCACGTCACCCGCGAGGTTGATTGTGGAGATTGCGATTTCTTTTGGCGTATTATTTGAAAGTATAGACGGTGAGGTCCAGGGACTGAAGAGACTACTAGTAAGTCGGCAAGGACACGGCAATATGGAGGTGAGAGTAAGAGGTCAAGTCAGTCACGAGCTTGCGTTTCAGCGCATAAAATGCTAGAGACGCGTGCCTGTCACAACTCACCGCGCCCTGCGAACAAACCAGCGCCGCCTCCTATTCATTCTCTCTCTCCAACTACATTTGCAATGTCTTCATTCTTTGGCCTGTAAGGATTGCCCGTCAATCTAGAAAATGATCAATTATGCTGATTTTACTTTCCAACGACGTTTTTTTTATTATAGTGGGAAGACTCGGACCTTCAAGCCGCGCAAGGACGCGCCGGAAGGCACAAAGCAGTACCAGCTGCGTAAATATGCTGAAGCAACCCTGGTGAGAACGGCAATAAGTAAATCCACGCAAGTGCAGGGGAAATTGACGGCCGGTGCGCCTACAGGGGTCGGGGAACCTCCGTCAAGCAGTGCTACTCCCGGAAGGCGAGGATACTAACGAATGGCTTGCGGTACACAGTATGTTGATCTTGATGTTTCTGATAATGTGGATTTACTGACGGCTAGTTAGCTGTCGACTTCTTTAATCATCTGAACATGTTGTACGGGACGGTGACTGAGTTCTGTACTCCTCAGGAGGTATGCACGTTACTTCTCGTTTGTGAATATGCGTGTTGATAGGATCGTGTAGTGCCCGATCATGTCTGCTGGCCCCCGGTACCTTTATACATTACTTTCCGGATATCGCCCCTCATCTTACTTGACTGTTGAACAGTTATGAATACCTTTGGGAAGACGGCGCGAGATTCAAGCGGCCGACCAAGTTGCCAGCACCGGATTACGTCGATGCATTGATGAACTGGGCGCAATCGCTCCTAGACGATGAAGCTGTCTTTCCCAACAAGATCGGTAAGTATTCCCCTTAAATGAGTCGTGAACGAGACTCTGACGAGCAGTTTTGATTGATTCTCTATGCTATTGTTATGTATAACAGGCATACCATTCCCTAAGAACTTTCGTGACACAGTTCGGACGATCACACGAAGGTTGTTCCGAGTGTATGCTCATTTATACAGCAATCACTTTGACCAGATTTGTGCACTCGGGATCGAAGGTTTGTCCTCGATTCTCCAATTGTCTGAACAGCCCGTCTGATCTATCGCAACTTCACCTTCTAGCGCACTTGAATACCAGCTACCGTCATTTCTTCCTATTCATCAACGAGGTGAGTCCGAACCTCTCACCTCACCAAATAATTCTATCTATTTATTTAACTCACCTCCTCGACTTTGTTACATTCTGCAGTTCGATCTAGTCGACAAGAAAGAGCTTGCACCACTTGATGAACTCAACGAAGCGATCTTAGCTGAGGACAAGCCTTTGCCTTTGCCTCGGTAACCGCAGTTTCTCTTCTTCCTCTTCTCCCTCTTCTCCCCGACTTTTCTATATCATCAACATTCGACTGGACGTTTATCCAGCTGTAACGATACCATGTACTTTCCCATCCATATCCTGTTGGAGAACAAATTTTGATGTAGACGACGATTGCAGTAACTTGCATACCTTTTGCTGTTTCGATATGGATCAGCTCGAATGATGGTTAGCACGTAGCAACTGTATACTCCACGTAGTTGTCTTGTTACTCGTCAATACGCATACACGATATAGAAGAAGACAAGCTGGATCGAATGATTCGCTTCGGCTATGTTTAGTGTCTGCTAGAAAAATTGCTGACCAGCGAAACCTTGTGCTGTACTACACAGATCATGCTTTCCTCTCACTCTTTGACCCTCAGACAGACTTTTGGGAGTTTCTCCCTCCATAACTGTGTTCTGCAATGACACTTGTACAGCACTTCTAATTGATAATCACAGCCTTCTTACACGGTGGCTACAGCTACAATCGCGTAAAATCTCCCTCTCGCAAGCTCTCGCCATAATGTGTGGACGACGAGCAATATGAGCGTTAGCACGCTCAAGCAGTAGAGTTAGCACTGGGTCCTCCTAACGCCAAGTTCGCGATATTCTCCGATAAGTCAAGAGGTGACTCTATTAACTTCGTTACTTTTCCAATCGCAACCGTCTTGCCTATCAATTATAATCATAAATCAACACCCACAATCCTCCACAGCAAAAACGAAAGTAAGACGGTACACATACCTTCGTCTCGTAAAGTGAATCTACCCATTTGTGGATGATCTGCAAACTTTTCGATACATATCGGTTGCGCAGTCTCGATGAGCGCAACGATCTTTTGTCCCCTCTTCGCAAATTGTGGAGGTTTCTTTGACTTACGACCAGTCGCTTTATCGAAATAATGCAGGAGCGCAGCGAGGTTGACCTCTTCCGCTAGCGTGTGAACATGCATAACAGCACTATACCCAGCACAAATGATGTTCTTATGTTCGAGAATCGCGAGTTGTGCTTCGAATTGTCGAACGGCGTGTACGGGATTGGATGGTGAGGTGAGTACGAATCCTGTACTGATATCCTCGTCGTCAACACCTTTGAGTCGGATTCGCGCGTTGTCTCCGCATATTGCGCTTAGAACTTCGTCTTCTAGCTCGTTGTAGATTGTTGATACTTCGACTGTTGTGCGGTTGGGCATTAGGACGAGTGTGTCGTTACGCTGTAGTCTGCCGGATTCGATCTTCCCGACGACGATCGTACCCATGTCTTTGTATTTCTCTGCGATGGGGAGCATGAGAGGGCCGAGGACTTTTCGGTTGACCATGGGCATTTTGTCGAGGAGCTCGAGGAGGGAAGGACCACTTATCGGGGTGTCAGCACACAATTGAAAATCAGGAGAAAAATAACGGATAACTCACTCATACCAGGGAGCGACGCTCTTGGATACTCTATCCTTCAAGTTTTGGCCAGTCTGAGCAGATACGGGGACGAAAAGTAAGTCGGTCTTCGGGTTGTAACCAGATGCCTTGATGAATGGAGTGATCTTGTTGACTATCTCATCGTATCGCGCCTTGTCCCATTGTACAGTCGTATCGTCCATCTTATTAATTGCGATGACAAGCTTCGCGACACCAGCCGTCTTGACGAGCATAACATGTTCACGAGTCTGACCGCCCTTCTCGAATCCAGTTTCAAACTCGCCCTTTCGAGCGGAGACGACGAGTACGGAGACATCTGCTTGCGCGGCACCAGAAATCATGTTCGGAACGTAGGTTTTGTGACCAGGTGCATCGAGGATTGTGTAACGTCGTGTATCGGTTTCGAAGTACCCTCTCCCGACTTCGATGGTCTTTCCCTTGTCTCGCTCGGATGGTGTTGAATCTAGTGCCCACGACAGATACCAGCTCTCGTTACCAGCGTCCTTCGCTTCTTTCTCGTACTTCTCCATTGTCCGCTTATCTACCATACCAGTTAGGAAAAGGATGTTCCCGCCCATGGTACTCTTCCCAGCATCAACGTGTCCGATGAATACGATATTAAGATGTTGTTTGACTGGCCAAATATAAGCACACGACCTAAGGCATCTAACCGTCCAGCTAACGATACTTACTATCACCAAAGAGATCCTTCAGCGTCTCCTGATCGGCATGAGCGTGAACGTCATCAACGATCTTGCTTGCATCTGTCTTCGCGCGCTCTGTAGTGAAAGTTTTGGATTTTGCAGCACCCTTTTCTGACGGCACCGGAGTTGGTGTTTTGGATGGAGTGGACTGTGCGGTTTTTGGTGTGGGTATGGGTGCTGGGTCTGCCGCGGGACGAGCATTGGGTACTGGCGATGGTTCTGGCACGGGTGCAGGTACAGACGTAGGTGGTGGTGTGGGCTTGCTACCTCCGATATTCAGCGTGATCGTTGGAGGTGGCTTCGGCGCTTCCTCTTGTATCGGTCGCTCGATGGGTGCAGGTGGCGGTTGCGCCGGCTGGCCCGGCTGGGTTGGCGGACGGAATTTACCAGGTACAAACTCTGCAGCATTGAAGTTTAGCCTACTCATTGTGAAGGAAGGAGGGAAGGGTGGAAGAGGGAAGATGACGGTACGAGGAGGAAGGGTTTATGTATGCGCCGCACGCGTAAATAGGTAATCTATTGATCTGGCGCTGATCACTTTTATTTTGTGAAAATTATGTTGCCTTTCCTGTATATTATACGTCACTTATCCAAGTTTTGCTGACGTTCTTGTATTACATAGTTCTGCTGCTAGCAAATAAGTACTCTCTGTGTCTGTTTACCTTGCAGGTTTCTCCTCAGCCGACAATTTGCTCGTTCCGATTTCTCAACGATTGCAATTTCTGATCCAGTTGCTTTGTTCATTTGTCTCCTCCGACATGCTTTGGTCGTTCACACCTGAAGTGTAAGGTAGGCTGCATCAGGCGTCCTCGAAAGCAATCCAACTTAGTTTTCTAATAACTGTGTTGCTATGAAGGAAGATAATCAATGATAGTCGGTGGCATGGTGCAGTCTTATTCTCTGAAAAGCTGGTGGTAAATTTCTTGAAAACTACTGTAACATATATCAATAGTGTCCGCTTAACTGAGCTTTGCGTGATACAGAGGCAAGTGCTCCAATAGCATTTAGCTGAATTCTGAAAGCAAGAGTCTTTCGGCTATTCTTAATAAGCTGCATAAGGCCGCGTATTCCCACGATTAGCTAAGTGGGTTCTGCGCGTGTAGGACTCTTTCCATCTCAACGTTGCGTACGGCGTCCATGGCCTCTCAATCTCAGTATCTCGCAGTGCTCAGGGCAGCATACGACTATACTCCAGACTCTGCAGAGGAAATTGCCATCAAGGAGGACCAAATCCTCTTCCTCATCGAGCGAACCGATGACGAGTATGTGCCGCATCAGCTCATATGTGTTCCCCATCCCCTATATTGATCATTCTCGTTCTTCTCAGCTGGTGGAAGGTCAAACCCAGGGATGCAGATGAGTCGGATGAAGGCGGGCTGGTGCCTGCTGCCTACGTTGAACCTGTGAGTCGTTCGTTCCAAGAGCTGCGCCCAAATGAGCTAACAATGATAGCTGGGTCAGGCACCGCACAAGTCGGTGGTGAAGGCAATATATGATTATGATGCAACCGCTCCTGGAGAGCTTTCAATAAAGGAGGATGAGGTACTTCTTGCTTTTGATGCGGATGATGGTTGGCTTCTCGTGCAAAGCGAGAACGAGGGCGGCAAGGCCGGGTTCGTGCCTGAGAGTTATGTCGAGGTACTTGACACAATATTCTAGGTGGTAATATTTATCTTACTTTTGCTAGGCTGCGGATGCGGAAGCAATTGGAGAACCGGAGCAGGAGGAAGAGGAGGAGGAAGTGGCTGCTCCTGCTATCATTGTTCCGCCTTCTGTGCGTGATACCTTGGCTAACACTGATCAACCACAATGCTGATTTCTAATAGCCGCCACGACCGTCTGCACCTTACATTGATCCCGCCGAGCGGGTTGCGGCTTCTCATGCAAAGGCTCCGAACGACAGCATACAAACCTGGGCTGTCTCCGAAGTCGATAAGAAGGGCAAGAAAAAGAAGGGTACGCTCGGTATCGGTAACGGTGCGATTTTCTTCGCAAGTGAATCGGACAAGGTACATATCTTCCCCTTCAATATATACTATAATGCTTAGATGTGCTGTAATTCCTTTTTGACAGACCCCTGTACAAAAGTGGCCAACAAGCGATGTCCAATCCTCGTATATTGAGAAGTCAAAGCATGTGCACATCGACATTGCTGGCGAGACACCAGTCAACCTTCATTTTAATGCCGGTTCAAAGGATACTGCAGAAGCGATCGTTGAGAAATTGGATGCATCAAAGGCTGCATCTACTCCTAAGCCTGAAACACCGACTGAGGAAGTACAGGAACAAGCACCTGCAATGAGGTCCTCGCCTAAGCCGAAGAAGAATGGTGTCAGCGTACATTTCGCGTCGACTCCACCTTCAATCATCTCACCTCGGGAGCCTGATCTAGACAGCGAACCGGGGGAATACATTAGTTCAAGGGATGACAGGCATAAAGAGGATGATGGCCATGAATGGGTCACCGTGCTGTATGATTTCAACGCGGATGGTGAAGATGAACTGTCTGTGCAAGAAGGTGACAGGTTAATTGTCCTGGAGAAGGATGGTGACGAATGGTGGAAGGTCCGAGACGCCTTGGGCCATGAGGGTGTCGTCCCGGCATCTTATGTTGAACTTGAGGAAAAGGTGATCGCTTATTCACACTCTCGGATTGCAAATGTTGCTAATATGTGACTGTCCAGTCTGGTCCTGCCGTGAATGGAGCGACAAATGACTACGCTGAAGAAGAAGCAGCGCGGGAAGCTGAACGTGAGCAAGAAGAGCAACGAGAGCGTGAGCGACAGGAGGCCGAGAGGAAGCGTGTCGAGGCAGAACGCAGAGCGAAGATGGCAGCAGAAGCTGCTGAAGCAGACCGCAAACGCAAGGAGCGTGAACGTGAACGTGAAAGAAAGATGAAAGAGGAAGAAGAGAGACGTAGGCGAGACGAAGAGGAGGCGGAGGAAGCCGCAAGGAAACGCGCAGCGCGTCAGTCCCGGCCGTATGTATCTTTCTGGATTTCATTTCCCTTCTGGTCATGTTTTGTCTCATGTTTCTAATTAATTTTTGCCTCGCAGTGCGAGCGCATCTGGGAGTCGTCCGAGGCCGTCTGAAGATGAAAGGACATCCCCTTCTCGTGATGCCAGAGGGCGAGGTTCCAGCGACAGAGCACGTGAGTATCGCACCCTATTCGCATGCATTCATATTCATTTAACGTTCATATGATTGTTGTAGGGAGCCAGCCTGCTCCGGATCGAGTGCGCACCTGGCACGATCGTACTGGTCAGTTCAAGGTCGACGCCGAATTCTTAGGCTTCTCCGGTGGCAAACTCCGTTTGCATAAGACGAATGGTGTGGTTATTGAAGTGCCAGCGGAGAAAATGTCAATGGAAGATTTGAAATTTATTGACCGACAGAAGGGTGGAAAGGAGAAAGACAAAGCTCAAGCGCCATCAAGAGCACTGTCTCCAGGCGGTTCTGATGATGAACCGCTTGCCATGCGACGAGCCTCATTGTATCCCGATGCTCAGTCTCGACCAACACCACCTAAGAAGGGAAAGAGTGTTGATTGGTTCGAATTCTTCCTGAACGCAGGATGCGACTTAGATGATTGCACGAGATATGCTTCCTCCTTTGAGCGCGACAAGATTGACGAGTCGCTCTTGCCCGACATCACGCCCCAGACCTTGCGTACGATTGGTCTACGTGAGGGCGACATTATTAGAGTCTCGAAGGCGATTGCTGCGCGGACACCAGGTGGTACCACGTCGGTACTTGAAGAGCAGATGAAAAGAGACGAGGAACTTGCACGTAAGTTGCAGGAGGACGAGGCCAATGGCGAGACCACTCCAAAACGTCAGACGACTTCACCCGGACTGTTTGCTGGTCCTGGTGGCGTGTTGAAGAATAACACGCGGAGAGGTAGGCCGCAATCAAGTAAAAGCACGCTGCCACCCACCGTTGACCTCCAATCCATCACTACTGCGTCAGCGCAAATCACTCGACATGACAGTCCCTCGACAGCACGAGTTCTGTCCCCTACTAGCGCGGTTACTGGACCGCCAAGAGCAAGCTCTGCAGCCCCAGTTGTCAGTGGCTTTGACGATGATGCTTGGACAAATCGACCGAGCTCGACGCAACCCGCAGCAGCAGCCGCAACTACTACTACTACAACAGCTCGTGCGCCCTCAGCTCCTCCAACTCAAACACAGCCTCCAGCAGCATCTGCTCCCCCACCGGCACCACCTCCGCCAGCCGCTCCTGCAGCAGCGACATCAACGGGAAGCAGTCTTGCACGTACAACGGAGTCCGATGTCTTTGAACAGCTTGCACGGTTGAGTGCGTTGAAGACGCAGAATACAGTACAGAGTCCCTCTGGTCCAGCATCAGCGCCTGTATCTGCTGTTTCTCCACCTGTGACTTCCCCGCCTGTAATGTCCCCGCCACCTGGCTTCCAAAGTGGTATGGGTATGGGCCCGTCTCCGGTACCTATAGGCCAGCTACAACCGCAACTCTCTGCAATCCCGCAGCAGACCAGTGCTCGTGGGCCATTTGCACCTGTCCCCGCGAACCAAGGTCTTCTGCACCCTCTCGTACCGACAACGACAGGCTTCAACGGATTCGTCCCAACGCGTCCACACAGCAACCCTCCAGCGTTCAACACGCCATCGCCGCAGCCCCCTTTCCTCAATACCCAACCTACAGGATTCCCGGGTGCGATGGGACCACAACCGACAGGAATATCAGGCGCTTTGAACGCTCAGCCTACTTCTGGCTTTGGCGGAGGACTTCAGCCTCAACCGACTGGCTTGCCAAGTTCTGGGCCCATGATGGCGCAGACTACAAGTTATCCAGGTGCCCTTGGTGCTGGCCCCTTCTCTGGTGGAAGAGCATTTGGACCTTTGCAACCAAGTATGTACTCTAACGTTTGCTTTCTTTTCCGTGTCTTGTCTCTTTTTTACTAACGCGTCTCCTTTCAGATGTTACTGGCTTCAATCCTGGCTTTAACCAAATAGCTTCACCGCCACCTCCCGTCCCACCAATTCCGCCATTGCCGACGAACAATGCACCCAACAACACTGCACCAGCCAACGTGTTCGCTCAAATGAAGGCTGGCACGTTTGCAAATGACAATGCACCACAATCTGGCAGTAAGTATCATGGCCCTTAGTTATTTACATGTCTGACGTCTAGTCTATTTTCAGACAAATACGATGCTTTACGCCCACAGCCTACAGGCTGGAACATGCAAGGAACGACAACAGGTTTCCAGAACGGATATTCCGGACCATTTTACTAATTACTTGCTGTATGTATGCTTTAATTCTCAATTCCCGTTTGAACTTAGGAGAAAGAGATATATCTACTATTGAAACCGAAATTAAAAATTGCAAAACCAAAGACATGGCTAATTGGATGGAGTTACAAAAAACATGCAAAAAGGACAGTAGGTAATAAGATATGCCTGTAAGAGACACGTGAAGGTGATATTGGTATACTGGTTAAAAAACGTGTTTGAAGCAAACAAAGGGACGGAAATAACGTGCGTGAATCAATCATGAACGCTCTATGATACCCTGGAATTGTCCGACTCGGACGAAGTAGTCTCGAAGATGGGATCGGACTTCTGAAGATAGATCGCGTGCAACGAGTTCCGACACAGCAGGATAGGTTGCAGGGAGGAACCGTCCAAACTGTATGACAAAGTCAATAATAGCTCCTGATTTGAGGGAGGAAGGAAAGAAGAAGCTAACCGCTTTATCGCTGAGTCCGCAGAAGCCCTGAACGATTCGTGCGACTACGGGCATCCACGCAGAGATATTCTTGGCTGATGACTCCATGCGGAGTTTATTGAAGTCTGTAATAACCCCTAAACCAAGTCTTTTATAGTAAAGAAATTACTCAATTAGCGGGAAGCAATCAGAGGTAAGTGCGATTGGTCACTAACGGAAGGAATTTATCAGCTATTTGGGCCCTTAATGCCAAATGTTGCGGACGAGGATCATAATACATCCGGGAAAGTACGGTGACCAGCGTATCCGCACTACTCGTCTCCTGCTTAAGCAAATTTGGAAGGTGCTTCATAAAACCTTGTAATACAAACTCTTTAGCCAATAGTCAAGATAGAGAACGTAGATTTAATTAACGCACCAACTTTCCAAAGCGCAGTTCGAAGTTCCTTGTCTTCATTGAACATTCGAGCGAATTGATAACTGTGGTCGAGAACGCCCATTAGACGAAGCAGATGCTCAGGAGGTATAGTATCGTAAACTTCGTTATTTTGGAGAAGCTCGCTTGTTGTCTCGATGAGAAGGAGCTGCAATACACATTTGACGATGATCTGCTTGAAGATGCGCTTCCGTTCTCCGGCAGATATCTTAACGCCGTTCTTAGTGTCGCCGTTAACGGTAAGAGGTGCAGGGATGATCGTCTGCCCTGAATCTTACGAGATCGTATCGTAAGTAAAAGAACTGCAGGGCTTTACGAAACATGTAATTACCTGGTGGTGTATCAGAAACGTCTGTATTGCTTCCGTCCACCTCGCCTCGTAAATTTTCGTCAAACAATTGGTGAGGAGTCGTTGTTCTGAAGAGTTTAATGAATGTTGTCACGACTCGTTCCCACCGCCCAGCACTGAGCTTCTTGACATTGTTTTCGAGCAGCTGCTGGAGGCAGGCCGTCCCTATTCGTGCGAGCGTGTCATTTTCTGTGCAAACATTAGCTTCTGTGCGCTGCTAATGACATGATTCGTTACACACCTTGACAGACGCAGACGCATAGGAGATCTAGAAGCCCGTCCAAGAATCGTTCTAATGTTTCGAAATAGAACGTGTACAAGTCAATTAAATCTCTTAATGCCTGGATCATCGTCGTTGAAAGCCAAACGCTCATGTCTTCCTGGGTGCTCCATCTAGATAGGTCGGAAGAACTCTTTAGGACAGCAAATATGGGGAATAGCAGCTCCTGGCAAACTGTATCCCAAAACTCTACTGAGAACGTGGACCCATGCGTTTTGAGGGTCGTGAATAGCGAATTGAGTGCTCTAAACATCGAGGTCAGCTGATATCTCTGCTTAAAATTGAGTAGATACATACAATCGTCGAACTTCCAGATCTTCTCCATTCATTATAATGTCGTAAAAGCTGAACAAAACAGGGTACCAAAACTTGATCATAGCATCGTCGGCGGCCTGTGATTGAGCGCCGTCTTGGGAAGGCTGAGAATTCAATGCGCAATCCGGACAAGAAAGCATTGTTGGTATAACGTCACGAAGCATACCAATCGCCAGAAGGCTGATCTTCTGGAATTTGCTGACTTTACAGAAGTCAGTGATACAGACCGTGAGATCTGCGAATGCACCATGTCGAATGATTTCAGCAAAATGCTCCTTGTTTAGCCGAGTGACCAATTCAAATGCAGAATTCACAACACGTTCTGGGGAAGATTAATTTCGCTTAGGAAAAGAACTCAAATGTAAACAACATTCTCACCAGTCAAAACCTTCGAAGCGGCGGAGAAAACGCTAAAAAGCGTCCGCCAACCAGAAACGAAGTTATGTACTCGCGCTTGAATCATTTGATGAAGACATTGTAGCACCTATGAGAAGTAGTCAATCACACAAGATAGGCGCTTAAACGCCATCGACGAACCATATCTCGGACATCCGGATTGTTGTTATGGATCATTGTGTATTCGAAGGGCCTTAAGAAATCCTTCTGGAATTTAAAGTGCGGGAGCTCTTCTTTTTCCAGGAATCTCATTGCGAGTTGCCGCAAGGCATCCAATGCAAAGAAGCCAACATGAGGATTGTGGTGGCAGCAAACCTACGATAACAGAACTTAGAAGGGTGTCAACCAGTGTCCAATAAAGCGACGAACCTGATTGAAGTGTTCGCCAATGATTTCCCATAGATTAGACCACTCTAGACGAATGCGGTTCATATTGTAATACGAGATTTCTACCAGCTTTTGCAGACTGAATAGTCGTGGGTGTTCTGATAGGCCAGAAGACTGTATTTCTTCCCATGATACGGCACTGAGCGCGCGCACAAATTCAACAATAGCCGTCTAAAACCAGATGTCAGGAACGAGTACGGCTAGACGTACGTGAACGTACTCCGGACAGATAATGGCTTAGTGAGAAAACCATGTCGGCCGCAACAGTGATGTGAGTGGAGCGACTTTCGTTAGCCAGTTCTTCCGCAGGCATCTTCCTCGCTCTCCTGAAGATTTTGTTGAGTATTGTACAATCCCAGAAAAAAGTATAGCTCATACCCTTTACCACGACTGGATTCGGGAATTTCTATCCCATTGCTGACAAGCTGCATCCTCTCTAGTTGACTGACACAAGACAGGACTTCGTGCCACGAGCTTCGAAGATGGTTGCCATCAGAAACTGCAATATCCAATAGCGCCTTGATAGCTTCCATGTTCTTCGCTTTCATTTCACCTAAATTATTAAGGAATGTAAACTTGGCAAGCGTTGTAACGAAAGCGTTGCGTTCGAGTTCAAGGTCGAAGAAGCAAGCGATTCGTATGGCGCACTTGAATCCTTCCAGACACAACTCGACAACTTCCAGATCATCCGTGTCCGTCAGGGGCCCCGAGATTCCGGCAAGGAATGGAATCCAAGCAACTTCAAACATGGGCCTGACATGGACAAAATGAGAAGCACTGAAAAACTGGTCATTCCATTTGGAGCCCCGTCTCTGTGAGCGCATTAAAGTTTTGAAGAGTGCCTGCAGCAAGGTTTAATATAAGGCTAAAAGAATATGCCAGTGACTTACTTCGGTTTTGTTCGCCATACCCAGAGACTGCATAACATATGCTTCCTTTTGTAGATCACGACCAACATTGGCAAGAGCATTGGCAATTCCTGGACCTTGCGTCGGTAAGACTAATTGTGCATCCATTTCGTCCTTCATACGAATCTCGTTTGTCTGGATATCATCAAAAATTTCGCTGAGAAATTCCTCGGGAAGGTCGGCACCATCGTTGATACCTCTGTTGTTCTTGATAAAATCGGCTTTTGTCATACGTTGCTTTACTACTGGATTATGGGCGTCCGTATTAAGCATGATAGTCGAGTATGATAGGACGTATGCCGTGTCTTTGAAATTCGTCAGAACCAACTCTACAGTCTATCATACTGATTTGTACTGACCAGCATTTGCGAACGAAGCCTGGGGATTCCCAGCAATATACCTCTCGGAAAACTTCAACATGAATCGATCAATCTTTTGTGCTTCCCCAGGTAGTCGGAAAGTCTGCAAAAACGTGCGAAGGGCATCTACGAAAGCCATTCCCGAGAAGTCTAATTGGTCCACAAAGGCATGCATAGTGGCAATGTTCTCATCATCACTTCATATGACGATCAAATTAGCATAAATTCAGAATGTTCAACAAGACATAGTGAGTTACCCTTCTCCTAGATATTCGCCAATGACTGCCTTGCTCAGGCCATCCGTGTTCAAGAGAAACTTGGCAACTTCCACCGGCTCTCGGCTAGGAATGAACCCATTCTGTATTAGAAATTCAACACCTTTTTTGGGCTTATAATTGAACCGCCGGATCCCGTCCTGGAGGATCGTCTTTCGTTGCTTCGCACTCTCAAATTTCCCAGGGTCGTCTGGAATCTCTGGCGTAGTCACTCTTGATACGTCACTACCATTCGTGGGAGCAGGCAACTTGTCCAGCGATGAGTCTGAGACCATGCCGTCGGCATTGGAGCCCCCAGTGGGAGGAACTGTAGTATCCTGGGTTGTGTCAGAACTGTTTAGAGTTTTCCCGGTAGCAGTCCCCCAGGTCACCAGTGATCGAAGAACCGCAACAAGGGATTCCAGTCCCTGGCGTTTAAGTTGCTGCTCTGACAGGCCAAGGTTCTGGTTATCGGCGTTGCCTGGGACAGCTAAAGCTGAGGTGCTCAGGGCAGGAGGAATGTTATGTGACTGGTGCTTCGTCGAAGGATTCAAAGCCGGACTCGCAGGATCGCTTGCTTTGGGAGGCGGAGCATTCGAATGCGATGACGATATTTTCGAAAGGGTATTCATTAGACTGAAATATCGTAACCATTAAAATTAGAATTGCCCAAATGTTGAAGCAGACCTACTGTTCATAGATGTTATCGGCAGCTTCTCGATCGCAATCATAGTTGAGGTAAATTTCCACCAGAGCTTGGGGTTCCTGGCATAGACGTTGGAGCATTCCAAGAATGACCGACTTCTGTTTCAATGTCGCAGTCTTCATTTCCAGAATGGGAACAAAAATCTCGTGGAAAAATACTTCAATTTCTTTCTATAATATCCTGTCAGATTGGATAGCTGCATTTGACTGATTAATGGTACCTTGAGTTTTGTCCGCATTCCAGTTAGGAGTCTCCAGAAAATCTCCACGCTAATCTCAAAGACCTGTGGTACGGGACTGACTGCATTTCGGCTCAAGCTTAGGCACAAGTATTGCTTCGTTGCATTGATGAAGGATGTCGCTTCATTGGTTGATGCAGAGTAGATGATGGAAGAGGGGTCAACAAAAACTTGCATGTGCGAGTTTAGAATTGTAAGCACGAGGTGCAATGACACGAGTTTCGAACGCATGGCGTGCGACCTCAAGTCGCGTTCGCTGTTGACAGAATGATAAGGATAAACGCAGGATAAAGGAGACTGGCAAGGGACATTACCTCTCCGTATTAAGGTTCTTCATCGTTAATTTGCAAAGGGCACGGAATACGAGGAACGCGTCCTTAAAGAATAGGTCTTTTGTGGAGATAGTGTGTACGTGGTCATCGGCTTCGGCCAGGTGCTCACTTGCATTGTGGTTCTCGAACGCTTGCCTGCACACGTTTTAGCGGAGCTCATGGAAGAATGTACAGAAAATACAACGCACAATGTCGCCTTGCCTAAACCTGGAGATTGGACGTCGACTTCACGTATAACGGAGGCATTAGCCACCGACGCCTCAACCGAATTTCTTCCTTCCACTTTCTGAGAAGGTCCGTCTTCTTCTTCGCGTCCATAGCGTTCATCCGAGGGTGTTAACGGGGGGACTGGATACGTCTCGGAGGTCGATGGAGTCAATGATGGTCGTTTAGAAGACGACCGGCTTTTTAAACTCGCCGTGTCGGCCTTAGGTGACTGTAGAACACTCCCATCCATAGATCCATTGCGCGAGTTGCCCAAATTACACCGGCTAAAGACATGATGTACCATTTGAGTTAGACCCCCCTGAGCAACGGTCTGGTTAACTGGATCAGAACTCAGGAGGAAAATGTTGTATACTGTCCGCACGGCCTTGAGTAGCGAAGATTGATGGACAAGCAGGGTTGGGGATAGAACCAGCGAGAGGAGTGCCTTTACAATTTGCAGTGAGACGGCATCAGGGGCGGTCTCAGTATGGCATGCAGTGATTGTATGGGTAACAATATCTACAAGGGTGGGTTGGCGCAGAGTTGCTTGAGATTCATTCGCAAATTGTTGGTTTGCTGGGGATGCTGGTGGGGAAGCCAGCTGCTGGTGCTCAGCCGGTGCATCAGGCTCCAGGAAGAATGAGTAAGAGATGAGCTTCGAGATACAGTCCAAGCTTGCGATCTGAAGTTTTTCATTCCCTGTTTCGCAAGCCAAACGCAAAGGTTCAAATATTTCGCGTGGTTTATCGCCACCCTGTCCAGACTTGATCATGTTAAGCGCATTATCGACTGCTTCACGTAGCTGAGTCGACCGCTTTGCCTCTCGCGATGCAGCAATAGTCTCCAAAGCAGTTGAAATAAGCACAACGGATACCGTGTTCCCTTGGGACATGGTGAGGTTCCTATTATGGCCAAAAGACGAAGTAGGGCTGTGAACCGATTCCGATGTACTCTTTCTGCCAAATAGACGAGCTGTTAATGGCGTACTGGGTCTTCCAGACGGCTGTCGTTCAACGCTATCTCTGCGCCTTTCGGCATCTCCAACCACCGGTAAGGACTTTTCGATCGGAGGTGGTGGCATATCATGAACTAGCTCCCGAGGTGAAGCATCATTGTTTACTTCTTCTAAGCTGACGGAGGTTTCTTCCACCTTTGTGCGCTGTACTGGCGGAACTACCTCGGTTGTAGTCGTTGCGTCCACTTGGGAAACCGACATTTCCGAGCTTGTACGTGCATAAGAAGCACCCCCATTTGTTACTGGAGCAGGTGTAGTCTCGGTATCGTCTGCACCTTCGACCGCTGCAATCCTGAGTTCGCTATCTGGAGCAGGCGTGGATGAAGATTCCTCGTCACCCGGGTCGTGAGACCTTGAAGAGAGCGCTTTACTCGAAGCCTGCCGAATAGAGTGCTCGCTGGACACGACTTCATCGCGTATGGTTTCGCCAGGAGTATCGGTCCTGTCGGATCCTGACTCTCGCAGCGTGTCAGACTCGCGTTCGTTTCGTTCGTGTCCCTGCGGCAGTGGATTCGGCAGCGAGCCTTCCTCCAGGGATTTTTGGATTTCTGGCGGAGGGGACTTGGCCCCCGTCTCTACGACATTGCCGTTTTGCATAGCTGCCGTCAGCTAGAGAGGTTTGTGAGCCTCGTCGCACAGTGCTGACCACGACACACATATTTCCAGTCCGCGTACGGATCGCAGAAACAGCAGTTGTTTCTCACAGTCATGGGCGCCCTGATTAATCACAAACATGAGCATTATTATTGTTCGAGTGTACTATCACAGGTTGTGTCCAGCATGTCAGTATCAGTCCCATTGGATTCACTATTTCCTTCACTGCCCTACAGCTATACCCAGAAGCAATGATGCTCTACGGCCTCACTAGTGTGATCACTTTTCTGGGTTCAGAATCGGCCTAAACCTTCGATTCCCCATTTGCTAAGATGTGCAATATATCCATTTGACGTAGAGCACTAGAAAGGAACAACGGTAAGTTCTGCTTCCCCTGCTTCTGGTATTGAAGCAACTTCGGTCTTTGTAGAAATGGGACAGAGAACTCTTGATCCAAGCGGCTTACAACCCAGCGAAGGGAGAAATAGTCTACTTCAGCCAACACGTTTCTGTAAACCCGAGGCACGACAACTAATTCAGAACAACGCGAAGGAAATACCCATAACGGCCTTCTCCCTTTCGGAGCCAGAAAAAATGGGGTTGTGAAATCTCTATTTTTGCTGGACGAAGTTCTGATTTCGGGCGCCGATACCAAACCTGAGGACGGACACGACGTAGAATCGACAGACCCACGTTTGGAGAGCACGATTTTACCTGCGCACGGACATCTTGCTCATTGTCGAGATGCATAGCAAAGGCAAAACTAACGTAGAAACTCTTTCAAATTGCTCTTGCCCTAGTTCCCGCCTCGCTACAACAGAAGCTGCGAGTACATGCCCAACGCATTTGAAGACATGCTTGGCCAATGGCAACACACGCTGAACACAGACCTGAGTTTGTCTCAATGACATCTGTTAACATGAAGTATAAATTTCAAGAAAGAAAGTACTATAGACGAAATTTCAATCCAATCACTAGTGAATAGTCAGAATGATTATTATTTGATATTACAATGATAGTCACCAACTCACCAAGAGTCTGAGTTATACATTGTGTCATACGAGCACGTGATACGAATCTCGAAAATGACTTTTGTGCCTTCTCCGACCGATACCGCAGCGTTAATGGCACCTCAGTTACAGTTGCATGCTGTCGCGTTCGTTTCTCCACAAAATCATCCAATCCTGATACGTTCCTTCTCGCATCGCAAGCAGGATGACTTGAAATACCAATACATCGCACATACGAGCCTTGATGTCATCGAAGAGCGAAGTGAGTTCCTGTAGTCACAATTCGATCCTTTGCCGAAACTCAGTAATCTTAAATAGCTGGTTCTAATAGCAAGTCGAATGAGTGCTACTTAGGGCTGCTCTATACGTTGCAGGATGTTGCTGTTTACGGCTATGTTACGCCGCTCAAAGTCAAGATTATCCTCTCCTTAGGGCTTACTGATTCCGTCGTGAGGGACGCGGATATTACCATGGTACGCACGTTCATCTTAGTTCACTTCATCTCGCTATATGCGAATGTAGATTTTCCGTGCGATGCATATGGCATACTTCCAGTCTCTCGCAAATCCTTTTTTGCGCCTCGACGCGCCATTCGACTCGACAACAGATCATACTGCACCACTTACACAAGGATTAAAACGCTGGAAGGGATTCAAGAGGCGAGTAGATGACGTGGGACGTGCAGTCGGTGCTAATGTACCCCCGGATGATGATGAAACTTCTTGAAAACCTCCATCAGTTTGTGTGATGTACAGTCCAGGCTTCTCTAAAGTGTATGGTTCATTTGGTGGCACAAAACTAAGCTTCGGCATCTCACAAGTTTTGTGCATATCCCTGCCTCTCCATGAGAAGGCCAGAACCAAGATAAATTGGCCTTTCTATTGACTCAGTATTCTAAAGCAAGCAGGTGCTGGGACAGATACGGGGTCAACATCTATTTAGCAATGTGTCTATCAATACATGCATGGGACTTCATTTTTCGCATTCCTAAATCATGACGCGCTGTCTGTGTCCTTCGCGAAGGTTGCAGCGACGAGTAAGGGAAAGATGAGCGTTGCATCACCAAAGACCTACGCCAGTACTTTGAATGAAGTCTCCTGAGGATTTGAAATAGGTGCTTACCTTCACAGACTCCGCCCCTTCTCGAATCTTTCCCCAGGACACCGCTTCATCAGGTCGGGCACCTGAATCTGAGCCGTCGAATTCTTGACCAGTGTTCTACGAGAAAGTGTCAGTTTGAAGTCCAGACCACGATACATTATTCATTCCACTCAACGATATAAACAGAATAATCGGCTCCGTTACGCTGCAAGGGAAGAGCACAACTTCATCAGCTGTACTTTACGTTTTAATTAAATTTCCCTCACGATGAGCATGGCATTTGCAATCTGGTGCTTGCAGACCCCACCACCAAGGATGATCATCCCTGCTTTCTTTGCTGTCCGAGACAACTCATTCAATTTTCTGATGTCTTGGACAATATCGATGATGAGGCCCGGAGAACGGTATGAATGGAAGTAGATCATGTCGCCTAGAGAACCATCGGTCAAAGCCGGACAGAAAACAGGAATATCGTTCTATCGAGTTCAGCCTTAGTGTTACCCGCTTAGTACGGTTTAGAAGCTCAGCTTACTTTGTAAGCCCAATAGTAAACAGATTCCTCATTATTGATCTCTTTCCCTAGTCGTCGAATCATTGTACTTGGTGTCCAAACCTCACCAGTCTCCTTCTGTTCTGCAAGCATGGTATCAAGAATCGGAGTGAGCCAATCCTCGAACTTGCAATAGTTATCATTCGGGACTATAAGGTTCCCAATCCGATTCATGCCGCGCCGTCGGAGGTCCGCACCATCGAGGTTCCAATCGGCGAGGTAAGTCTTACCAAGACACTTAACGAAGTCTTCTTCAATGCCACCCGCAGTCGTCACTATGGCAGAGACGTGTTTATGCTTCACCAAGTATAAGAAGATTTCGCGGAGGCCGGATGAGATGAGGTTTGACGTATATCCTAGGAATACACGACATCGAGTTTGCGAACGAACTACTTGATCCCGATACTCGTCCAATTCGTCCTCTTCAACCGGCTCGTCGGAGAGCCTCCATCTGCGCTACACATGACTCCATTGAGTAGCTGTTCGAAGTAGATGTATAATTCATCATATCTGACCATTTTATCAACAATCTGGATAGCTCGCCCTAAGCTTGTTGCTTGGAATCCTATTCTTTCATAGCTGCCTATAAGGTCTTGAAGACTCAAGACATTGTCAAAGTTTGGCCCTTCTACAGAGACAGCAGAGTCTGGCACTGTTTCAGATCGCTTGAACACAGCCGCAGAGGCACCAAATGGGACTTTGTCCAAGCTCATGTTCTGCGCAGGTGAGAGTTGTAACCGATGATGCAGCTGCAGTCAAATTTTGGCGTGAATCACGTGGAGATATTGATTAAACACGTGATCTGGGAAGTTTCTTTCGTCGAGGCACTTTTGTGAGTTACACCTTTCAGACGGATTTGCAATTCCTGCAATCTTCTCCATACTGCGAATCGGCAAGGCCCCTTCCTCCTGATGCGCCACTGATAAATTTTCATCAGAAGGTCACCGAAGATGGTCTGTGGAGGCTCCGAGAATCCTGTAGGCTTTACTCATCTATCTATCCTTATACGCTTTCAGTTTCTATAGTCCTCGATCATTTATTTATCGTGTGGTTCTCACAGACTCGTGTTAGAAACAATGAGTTTACGGAATAACGTACGTTAAAGGCTTGATACTTCGTCTATAGACAGGGGTTTCAGTGTTCCGTGGAAGTAGCACGACTGCTTCGACATTTTCTTGGAGTCGACTCGTCCCTATTGTATCAGCCTCGTGGGCTCTTGCGCGCCCTGAACCTCTCTTACGAAGAGCAAGCGGCGTGATGGCGTTCAGAGTTCGCCTCTTTTCGTAATACATCCGGATGCTGCCGTCGTGAGTTGCGATAATGACTCCTTTCCGGCATCCATACTTTAGGGCGATCTTCCACACGCATACACATGCTCTGCGCTCGTCAGTGCCGCAATTCGTACCTCGACGAAGCAACAGAGATGCTTCTTTCTGCCCTGTATCGTTCTTGTTGCATTGCAAACAGTTTATGTTCCGCGAAAGTTTGTTTACCGTTTTGGCAGTCGTAGGATCGACGGAGGCCTGATCTGCATTTTTGGGATGGGCTGTAGTGCAACATTTCCTTGAAACAAACAGCACCTTTCTAGCTCATGAATTCGTGCACCAAGTGGCAATTACCATAGCAACTGTCTGACAAAATCTCCGCTGCTCGGCTTAATATCGTTATACTTGTCGCTGTCTATTGTCTTAGGTATTGTGACCAGCTTTATTGTCCTCTTCATACGCCGAACAGACCAGACAAGCAGAAACGTGCAGTGCACCCTGGCTTTCGCCATAGTCATGCTTGTATAAATCTGTCGGTGGGGAGATCTGGGGTCGATAGTCATAGGCCATGTGTCGGTCAAGATACCGAAGGCGAGGAAGAGCGAGTGGAACACAGCGCAAGGCTAGGACAATAGTGGTCAAGTTCACTTTGAACATATAAGTCCTACTACTATATCCGCGATATCCTTCACTGTGGTCCCCTCTCCTCGCAGGATGTGGTCCGAATTTCCTCTCGGGCCTATTGCTGCCTATCATGCGACGGGAAACGAAGAAAGCGACTTGTCTGACCTTAGGGTTGAGCTGCCTTCTTACGACACTCCAGGTCCATCGAGGCCGTACAGGCATGCATCTCGAGAACGGCAGCTCCACGAATTCTCGTTAGAAAATGCTGACAAACATCAATGGGCGACAGTACGATTTCAAAGTTGGGCACCATCCGCCAGGAGCCTCCCGATATTTTTTGAGGATCAGGACATTACAGGCCAGGTGGACCTGGATTTGCGGCAGCCAGAGAGTATAAAAAGCATCGAAGTTTCTGTATGTAACTTACAGACGAGTTCGTTCACTGTAGACCACACTAACAATCTCCCTTCAAACCTCGTTTGCCCCTACTCTTCCTCTCGCAGATTAAAGGGATTGTGCGAGCTGGCCACAGCGAAACAAACTTCTTTCACATTTCAGAGACGCTATGGAAGAATTCGTTTGGGGACCCTAGATCTTCAGATGAACAAGGTCGCGCAAAGCACACTGGAAAGCTGATTGGGGTGTATTCCTGGTCCTTCTCAATACGTTTACCACATGAGATTCCAATCGAGCCGAAACTCGCTAAAGAATTAAAACTTAATCGCATTGAACATCTGCCGCCGAGTTTACATGGCTTGGGGTGGAACTCTTTAATTAATTATCGTCTTACGGTGAACATCAGAAAGCAGGGCATTTTTAGATCAGTTAATTCGTAGGTGCCAATACTGTTGATTTGTTGCCATGTTAATTACACACTAGCCAGGATCTCAACTCTCATAGGATATACACCGACCACACGACCCGATCCACCTTCTACTGCTCGTCGCAGAGCATATAGGGAAAGAACACCTATTCCTGGACCGATATTCGATCCGAGCGGATGGCTCATATTGCGAGACATCAGATTGACTGGAATTCTCTTCAAGCAACGCGAGGTTACTGTCACGTATACGGTAAGATTTCATTGTACTCATCCAGCTGTTCGGCCCCGCAATTAACGGGACGACGTGAAGCTTGCACTAGCTACACCTGTATGTCTTCTCCAGTTTGAGATGATTATGATCTCCCCGTTCATTTGTCTCATTCATCGAGCTTGCATACACTCGCGGAACTGTAATCCCTTGCCACCTCACCGTCAGGTCATCCGATAGGCAGGCCCTTGACCTTCTAGCCAGTCCCTCAGCGCCGCGGGTGACCTTGCGTCGTAAGCTCACGGCACGTAAGGTACTGATGCCGACAGAAAGGGTTGACCTTACTGCGCTTGAGAAGGACGATGCCCGACCTCTCGCGAAGGCAATATGGGCGCCAAGTGAGCGCAGTGGAAATGAATGTCGTCTGATGGGGGAGTTGAGCATTCCCGCTGGTTGTCCGCCGAGCTTCAAATTCGGTGAACTCAATTTAGAGGTCAGTTTGAGGGTATACGATCCAATCGGCCATGCTAAGCTGACAAAACGTTCTCCATTCTCCCCATCCACTCTGACTACTACAGTATTTCGTGGACATTCATACACCTTGTCCACCTGGATTCCAGCCGTCGGGTGACCACCTTCTCAATAGCACCCCAGTGCAGGTAGTCTCTGCATATGCAGAAGGAAGCTCCCGCCCCCGCGCATACATCACACCTGCGCACGACGCGTCACGACGTGTAGCGCAAGCCGATGCGCTGGCAGGGAATTTGGCTGCCTTGTCTCTTGAAAGGACGGCCTCTGAGTCGGAATCTCACAGGACCGGATTTACTTCTCGACCGGGCACGAGTTCGGGTGCGCCAACTGGGTCGTTGGCGCGATTTGATACGCAAGGCGAAGTACAGGACGTCATTCGTTCGGTATCTCCAATTTTACCGGCCGGTAGGAGACTAAATCGACGGTTTAGTGCACTCTGAAATATTTACCAATGACAACTTGTTATTCGATGTCGTGGTTGCTTTCATTTTCTATCGTTCGTTCAGGATTAAAATATCTATTTATGTATTTATGTATTTATGTATTTATGTATTTATGTATCTGTGAACTGTAACCGCCCAATGGCGGAGTTAATTATACTCGCAATAGTCTATGCTGGGTGTCAGGGTCAAATCAAATAGAAGGGAAGAGAAGGGGAAAGAGAAGAAGTTCATGGAAATGAATGCGGGTGAACTTGGCAGCCTGTCATACACATGCAGTGTACATATGTTGCGATTGGGGTACAGTGTGGTGTCGGTCGGAATTTGTTTTGTTCTTGCAGAACCCACGAATCGGACACGACATTGCAGTCATCCCATTGAACAACGGGACAAACTATATTTACGTTCTTCTCCCGCCCCTCGTGAACTTCTCCGGAATTATCTGGTAGTAGAAAGCCATTCCATCGCCGGGATCGCCGTCGGCAAAGTCAGATCTAGAAGTGAAGAGGTGTTTATGCGGTCCAAGGGTTCACAGCATGGTAATTGGCTTGAAAGTTCTGGCGTAGATTGTCCCTCTATATTGAAAATGATTGGTGGCGCTTGTGGGCACGAAGGTTGGGCTTGGTATTGTTTTAGTCAATAGAAGATGGTAACGAAGTAATGTATGTACGAGAACGTAGTGGAGACGCTCCGCGTCAGAGAAGGTCCCAATCATGATTACGATGCCATCGATTGCAAGTATATCAAGATGGTCAAGGTGCTGTCTGTGGCGTGGAACGAGGCCTGGATTTAGGGATACAAACGAGAGGACTTTCTGAGAGACCATCTAAAATGGTATACTTGCTTATAGACATAAATGAATTGCAATGAGAGGTAATGAGCTTGTACGAGTCACATTCAACCTTACATAGAAGTTTGGCTCCAGGTGAAACGGAAAAACGTAATTGGGCTGCCAATTAGTTGCTTTATCAGAGAGAATTGCGCCAGTTTGTTGGGTTGCGGCGTCATTCCACCGCACGCGCACTAAAGCACGTCGAGATGAGAAAGAACATGTAATGGTGAGCAAATCTTCTGACGTTCATAGGTTTTTCTTGTACGCGAAGTTTCCCTAAGCGGGATGCCATGATGCAGCAGCAAGAACGAACACGAAAGGGTCGCCGTTTCTCAGGAGGTTGCCGCAGCAGATAAACGTTCTTGCCGAGCAAGAGCCACTCACATCATTCGACCGACGTCGAAATTACAACAACTCGCAGCACGTAATGAGATATTCTGAAATCTGGAGACCTAGAGCTTCGTTCCGGGCCGTTCAGTGCGCCGTCGGCCGAGCCTCACCCTTTGAAGCTCGAGCATCATGAGGTCGGCGGGAGAAGAGAAGGGAATCGAATACAAGCGACATAAGGACGGCGCAAGGGCGCTTTACCGAACTCCCCAAAAGATGCTTGAGAATTTTAATATGTTCGGAGTTTGATTTACCATGAGAAACTCAGTCGAGTACCTTTTTCTTTTCTTCCGAAAATGACGCATGGGTATGAGCTTGCACAAGAGGCAAAGTTGGGACGCCGGAGAACAGGCGAGTCGACTGTAGAGTAAGACTTAGACTCAACCTTGTTTTGTCCAAGAATTGTGGCGTCTTCGAAGGGAAGCGAAGGAATCAGGAGTCGAATTCGGTATTGATGCCATGGGACCTGGGTCGAGGCTCGAGTATTGATAAATAACGAACCTTTTGAGTGTGCTTCTGCCCATTACGGCTTGCACTGCCAATCGCGTCGCCATCTATATTGCGCTTCGCGCCGAACTACGGGGTTCTGCAGTTGCTGCTGTGGGCACAAGAGAGTCTGTCGAGCCTTGACAGCCTGAGCTACCACACCGATGGTGGACTCGAGATCATACGAACACAGTCTGGCGAACTGAGTTCTCTTTCGCGTTAGACGCAATTATGCCTTGAAGAGGGGGGAGGAGAGCGTCTCATGTCTGGATTCAATTGAGATTCAGATCAGACGTTCATCAGTGCGGTTCAGGGCGCATGCAATACTCGACCAAAAGGCCAAATGAGCATTGAGCAGCGATCTAGGATCTGCGGTGTGCTGTATCCGGCGGCGAAGCAGTTTGATATTTGGGGGATGGAAGGGCGAAACGGGGATCGGGGGATGTCGTGAGCACGTTGAGCGCAACGCACGCCATGATTCAATGTGCCGTCCGTTTCCACGGTTCCTTGGCGAGCGTCTCCCGCAGCCCTTATTCGTCGACAAGCAACTCGTGCTTTGCTCTACTTTCGTCAGTCGAACATCCATTTTGGGCGTCACTTGCTGCTCTCCTTCTTCGATCGCGAAGCATCGGACGGATCGTCGCTCCATCTGCATCTGGCAAACTGACGAGGGCGGCGGAGACACCCGATCGCTGCTCTTCCCACGAGGGACACACGGGAGCGTAAAGCGGCGCAGCGGAGGAGCTTGCGCTCATACCCATGCTTATACATACTTGGCTTGTATTGTATTGCAGTTCCCCGCTTGCCACAGTGTGTCTCAAGAACCAGCGTCAGCCGTAATAAGAACTTGACATTCTCCTTCTAAGCTAGGCAACACTCCAGTCTTTGCCGATGACCGTGGTGTTGTAATGCCGCTGCGTCTATTTTGTTCACGCTAGTTTAGTCATCTCGGGATGCGTGTTACGATGGACTTGATGATTCTTGGTTGATAACGTCGGGTCTAGTCTCACGCATTTAGGCAAAAGAAGCCGTCTACACAGCCGATTCCGATAATCGCCGTGACAAATCAAAGCTGAGCAGCTGGGAATCTTGAGTGAAGAAATGAGGAGTGACATGTCAGTCAGGTATATTTTCGACTCGACGATAGCCGAGTTCACCGTCGTCTTTCCATTGGCATCATCATTCATGCCTTGGCATTGTGACTACAGAACGAAGCGCGTCTATACCGTCAACTTGAGGATCCAATTTCAAACGGCGGGAAATCGGAATAAGCACTGAATAGACAATGGGATTGAGTGCGACGAGACACGCTTGTGATGATCAGTACCGACAGGATGGTGGCTATTAAACTAAAAGTGACGAGCCTCGCACCGGATGGAATATATAGAACTGAATTGGCGGTCCCCGGCTTGAAATTTGAATTGTCTGCGAGCAACGATTCGTTTTCGGTGTGCCGCATGGAATTCGATTGGTCCGATTTATAATTTCCGGATCGGGACATGGGCAATGGCGCTTGTGGGTGCAGCTGAAGATAGGAGACGGAAGGAGGTGCTGTGAACGTTCTGAGCATTCTGGGGTCATTAATTAATGGGCCACATGCCTGGAGGCGATAGCGAATGATGTTGTTAGAAGGGCAGACAAGGAAGGCATGGCATTTATTCTGAACTGAAGGAGCATCCCATCGCAGCGGCTTCCGTGGTGTAATTGGTCAAAGCCTTGCTGCTCGACCTCCGGTCACCTCGGATGTATTTCAAAGTCCGCGATTCATATAAAGTGTACAGAAAGTGTAGTTAGTTTTGGAAACAGCGCAACAATTCAGAGGCCTTTCGGGGTCCCTTCCCTGCAGTGTGCAGATTCAGACTCCGCGTCATCCCATTTCATTAAAACGCGCTCTCTCAAGGTTTCGGCCAATCGACGTCTCGCGCATTCGTCCTCTTTTCTACTTCACATTACTCGCTACCTCTGGTGACGAACACCGTGCACTCGATCACTATGTTTACTTCAGAGTCCCTGTCGCCGCCTCCGAGAGGAGGACTGCGCGTCAATATCAATGACTTGCTCAATCCTATCCGCCCTTCTGATTACCAGCCTGGATCACCTGCAAATGGCCACCGCTTCCCCTCTGCGACTGTGCCCGCAGGTGCTGATGCGCATACACCTGTGCTACCGGGAATAAACAGGCTCACAGATAATCCTTACGACCGTCATGCCAACAGCCGTTCCGGGTCCCGTTCTGAACAGGATACACGTACGGAACAGGACCTTGCTAGACGTATGCATGAACATCATCTCGCTGATGCACGGCAGGACCAAGTTGCATCGCAGGCAATACGCGACGAACAAGCGGCGGCGGCTGCGTTCAACCCGCGTTCCGCTCATTGGCTTTCACCGACGACCTCGCGGAAGCCGTATCCGACTCTCCCACCATTGCAACCGGTTCATGACCTGAAATCTGATCCATGGCAGAAGGCTCCCTTTTCTGCCTCTCCGCGCGAACGGCACCAGTTCAGAGGTAAGCTACCGTTTGATCTCCAATTCACCTTAATACACAGACATTATACTAACGTTTTCCTTATTCTTGTTCATCATTTGGATGCATTAACTTGTAGACGACAGCTCTAACTGTAGAAGCAGTCTGAGCGACACTTCGCGCAATGGATCTGTGTACCGGCCAACGGTACTGCCGCCCTCGCCTTCTACGACATCTTCGTCTGCCAGTCCCCAGGTCTCGCCTGTCGCTACCTTTGCCCCGTCCCGTTTGAGCGCAGCACCATCGCATGCGATGGCGGCGATCCCGCAGAGCCCGTACGGGCATCAACGACAAAAACCACAACAGGCGAACTGTCCCCCGCCGCCGGCTATGTTCGGGCCGCAAGCGTACGCACATCATCCTCATCTGGGCGGGCGCTCGCATTTGGTTCCCTTTGTCAAACCTGTACAGTCCCCTATCATGTTATCCCCAATGACTCCCCCAAAGAATGAGATGAATGGTAAATATCTCTTATCACCTAACCTAAGATTATTATTTTCTTGTTATCCGAAATGCCCGACTCTGCTGTATGCATGGCTGTATGCAATCGCCGAGACAGCGGGTTCCGCGAAGCTTTACGCTTAGATTTGCACGGGACTTGCCGGAGATTAGCACCTTCCTATTTTGCCTTATCCGGCTGCTTAGTGATCACGGGCGTTTGCTTACTTCTGCTCTTTCTTCAGCATCTCCCACCGTCATGAGCGTTGACGCGCCTTCAAACAGTGAGTGTGCTTGGAGCTCAAAAAAATACTGTTGCTTTTGCCAAATAACTGACAATGGGATAAAGGTGCGCAGTCTGGCACGAGCGCATCAGTGTGCGTCACTGCACGCGGATCGGAACCTCCCACTCCTTCGTCCGCACGAGACGAGCCTGAATTTGTATTGCAACTACATCCGAGCGAACAACCTCAACAAAATGCCAGACAAAGAAAGCGAACTCATTCAAAAGTGGATCTGCGTGGCGAGGGTGCCTCGTCTCCAGCGCCGCGCTCATCATCGATCTCCTCAATGAGCTCCTACGATTCGGCATTCAACGGGAGTGGCGGAGATCCCCTGAGAGATGGTCCAAAGGCAAAGAAGGTCAGGGAAAGGTCACAGATTGGGGGTCCTGACATGGGTGAGTGCTCTACTGTGGTTGTACAATGTGTCTCGATGGGGCGGTTCCCTCTTCCAATTCCGGCCATGCGCCGATCTCCTTTGTATGAGACAAGCGTTTACTTATTTGCGACGTGTACTTTCTTTGGTACAGGCTCTTCCGTCTCATCAGAAGGATTGAAAACCTCGAAGAAGCAAAGTGGTTCGGAAGACACCGCGAACGGTATGTATTTGCATCTCTTCGCCATACTGAAGCGCTTAAAACGTCGTTTGATGACTTCCTATCTCCCATTGCACTGGTTTATAACGGGTCCAATCGATTTCTGTGCGCGACTGTAGGATCTGCGAAGTCCTCGAGAAAGGGTAAAGAGAAGGACAAGGAGAAGAGCGCCTCAGCCCGTAAGTAAATTTCGCAGATCTGTCGTTGATCCGGCACCTGTTTCTGAGTTCTCGCCCTTAGCTTCGCATGGGTACGGGAACGGACAGCTACAGCCCCTCGATCCGCAAATGACTATTCGCCTCGGTTACGGCGTCGGCGTTGTGCCTGTGCGAGAGGGCGTTCCTCTGTTTCCGTTTGGGTACGCGCCATATCCAGTCCCGATGCATATGCATCCACTAGGCATACCAGTTGCGGTACCAGCCCCGCACAATCAGCCTTTGAATGGGAAATGGTTCCCGGAATTGCAGTACGCACGATGCATGTCCGCACGATACAAGGCGGATCCCTTTCCCCGCTGCGTGAGCTGCACGCGTCGATGGGCAGGTGATACATGCAGGTTCCAGAATATACGTATCTTACTCCGTGACTCGAACAAGACACTGTGGGCCGTCGGTTTTCAGGACTTGAATGCAAAGACTCACGGGGCGCAAATGATGTATCCGGATCAATGGAATGTGAAACTCGAGAAAGTGCATGTTGGCAGGACTATGGTAAGTGACAATGTCACTGTCGTGATATCGTGTGAGGCGATTCAATTTTGCCTGCAGAAAACTGTCGCGAGTTATCTTCTACCGCATTTGCAAAAAGAGCAAGCCCATCAGCAATTGGGCAGCGTGGTAAAACGGCAACGAGAGACAGACGTCCGCGCCACTTGCGGTAGGTTTACCAGTTCTAGAATTGTAACTTAAGCTCATTCAAATGGCGCTGGATAATAGATACATGTATGACTTCGCTTTTCTCAAGCAGCTGGATGTGTCGCCAGTGTGGACGTGAGGCGTGTGAGGAGTGCTTTGAGACAATCAGACGTCTTACTTCCGACCATCCGCAAACTGCAAACACAACACCGAGTGCGAAAGGAAAAGGTTCTGCGTCAGGGGTTGATCAACGTACGATGAAAGAGCGGCATGCTCAATCCAATCCGTTCTTCCTCTCCTGCAATAGGAAAGCAGAGCATGGCGTCCATACGTTTGTTCCAGTGACGAGGTTTGTTAAGACTGAGTTGGACAATGCAGTAGCAGAAATGGAGCGACTTGTTTACGGTGCGGAGCGTCGATTGATGGGCAACGAGAGGCGCGAACCCGATAGCCCAGGGAGGAATCTAGAGCGCAGACGTGCGACAGACGACAGCGCGGATATGGAAGTCGACGCTTCACAAGTAGCCACCTCTTCCAGGAGCGAAACGGATGCAAGGGGCGCAAAAGGCGAGCCGATTGATATTACTGATGATGGTGCGAATCAGCGGAAGGAATTGACACCCGAACACTACGATGATGGTGTATGTACTCTCGTCAAGAACCCTATTCCGCCCCAGGCGTCGTCCGTCTCTACTTCCACGCAGCATTTGTCATCTTTGTCTGAAGCACCCCAAGGAAGCTCCACTTGGCCAGTACCGTACTACGCGAAGGAAAGCCTCACAGAGTCAGTTTTTGCGGCCCAATGGGCGCGCGGAACTCCGCTTGTAGTTACTGGGCTGTTGGACCGCTTGAAGCTCAATTGGTCCCCGGAGTACTTTATGAGGGCTTACGGGCAACAACCATGCATCATACTGGAGTGCCAGACTGATGCGAACAAGAAGGTGACTGTCAGCGAGTTCTTCAGCTGCTTTGGCAGGTACGAGGGAAGAACGGAATGTTGGAAATTGAAGGTTAGATTTTTTAATTGCTCTTCTAGGATAATTGACTGACAGGACATCATTGTAGGATTGGCCTCCGTCTACGGACTTCAAGACAGCTTTCCCTGAGCTATACGATGACTTCAACCGCGCAGTACCTGTCCCGAGTTACACACGTCGTGATGGTGCCTACAATATTGCGTCCCATTTCCCAACAAACACGATTGTACCTGATCTCGGACCGAAGATGTACAACGCATACGCATCGTTCGATGGGCCAGGAAGCAAGGGCTCGACTCGTCTGCATATGGACATGGCGGACGCAGTCAACATAATGCTCCATGCTGAAAAGACTCCTGACGGTGCTCCAGGCTGTGCTGCTTGGGATATCTTCCGCGCTGAGGACTCGGTTCATCTACGCAATTTCTTCAGGAAAAACTTCAAGGGTCAGTATCAGAATGACCCTATCCACTCGCAGCACTTCTACCTCGACGCGAAGTTGCGGGCTCAACTATTCGAAGAGTTTGGTGTACGAGCCTTCCGTATTTATCAGCGACCAGGCGAAGCCGTATTTATTCCGGCGGGGTGTGCGCACCAAGTATGCAACTTCTCGGATTGTATCAAGGCAGCATGCGATTTTGTCAGTCCGGAGAACGTGGAGCGATGTGAATCTCTAACACGCGAGTTCCGCGCGCAGAATCAAAGTCTCGTGTGGAAGGAAGATGTACTCCAGCTACGCTCGATGATGTGGTTCGCGTGGTTGTCTTGTCGGCAGCAGGAACAGAAGTGGAAGGACGAGGAACGACGTCAGTCAGATGTTACTTTCATCGAGTCTTCCACGGCTCATAGAAAGGATGGGATGGACGCTATTATGATGGACGCCTCCAAGGACAGATCGGATCGCCCGAATTAATTCTTCTGACTCTTTGCGCTTCGTCCCAGTATTATTCTCCGTTCGTCTGCTTGAGCTCTGCATATATATTTTCGCGTCTTGCACGTTGGACTTGGATATCTATTTGTTTACCGTTTGCTTCTGTTTTGCGCTTTGCTGGATTACTGGATTTTGGGATTGTTTGGTGACGCACGTGTACTGATAGGTGAAAATGATGCTGATGTTGCATAATAATGTTTGTATCGTTGCTTTCCACTTTGCTTTGCATTTTGCATTTAGCAATCAAATAACATGACACTTTGTATATCTATGTGTTTGTAGACGTTGCATAGATGAATATAGATAACATATCTTGTACAAATGACTGATATTGATATCTATAAGCCTTCATTGCTATTGGTATCATTATCCACCTTGTTTTTCTTATTTGTTAGTCACTTCCAGGACGAGGAATCACTATTAAAATGTAATACAACATAATATCTATAAGGGGAGCAGTTACTCTAAATTAATGAGATGAAAGGAATACTAATCCTAAAATCTATCCCTCCATCTACGTACATCTATCAATCCAAGAAACGAGAAATTTCGTCCTTGCTCCAGTCGTATCAAAGCAACGTGGTCTTATCTACTGCTCTACAACTCTTTCTTCTTCTCTAACTGCTTCTCAGTGGCTTTATGCTCATACCAACGATGTTCAAGCCATTCTGCGACTGAATCGGTCGCGAATTCTACAGGTTTGTCGTATAGATAAGGTAAAAACGGTACGGCTGCGAGGCCAAGAGCTGTTGGTGCCCAGGCGCGGGTGCGGGGTGCGAGAGACGGAAATCGAGTGATGGCGCGGCCGGCGTAGCGGACTATGGTATGGATTGTTAAGGCTGGGAGAGCCCTATGTATTGTGTGTTAATGTCATGGTATTTGAGTAATGTGGCAAGTAATTATGGAATAATGATGGTGATGATGGAAGTGGAGTGGAAATACGTACATGGACGCGACTGCCTGGAAGGTTCCCCGTTTGGCGGCGATGAGTGCGAGACGTTGAGGTTCTGTAAACGTAGCAGCTTCGAGTGGGTTCGGACCCCGACGTTGGGCTTTCCATGTTTCGAAGCCTACATCTCTACAAACAAACACAACCAATCAGAATCACTCAAAATGCCTCACATCATCAAATCAAAAGGAAAAAATATAGAAAAGAGAGGAAGACATACCCAACGAGATACGCCCACGAAACGCCATACGCCATCCTCACCACAAGCGGATTCACAACAGGCCGAAACGCCTCTCCAACGTCACTCGTATACGCAACATACCGATGTGCCGCGCGCAACGCCGTCCTTAGTCTCGCTGCATACCCAAGATACCGAGCCTCGCTATTCGTGCTATCAGCATCCTGATCTGCGAGCGAGGTGAGCTCTTCAGCGGCTTGCATCGTGAACGGCTCCTTGCGGTGGGCGGAGGAGAGTGGGAGAGTTATCGAGAACACCATTCGACTCGGCTCGGAGAAGATTGTCGTTGTAAGGAAATGAGTCCGAAAGCGTGACGCAACAGACTCGGCGACTATTTTTATCTGATAAGTCGGTGGCAGTGGCACTGTCTTCGGGCATAAACACCGATCGCTTAGTCAGACTTCGAGACCCATCTAGAGAGTAGACACTGGACAGAATTAACACGAAATTTATTATGTATATTTTTTGTAGAGGAATTAAGATGGCCGGTATGTTTCAGAGAGCTTGGAAAATCAAAGTATCGAGATGGATTATGGAAGGGGAATATTCTTTTACATGGCATCTTGCCGCTTCACCAACTCAACAACCCCTGTCTTCTTCACCTCCTCGTTCTTCTCTCCAAAATATCTCGCACAATCAAAGCTCCAAGTCAAGTTACCACACACCCATTGTTCCATCCCATAAATATATGCCTGTACAGATCTATCCTCATCCTCTCCGAACGATCGAATATTTTGTTTACACGATATCATTGTGTCCGCAAAGTCTTTGAATAACTCTGCAACGTGATCCATTGCGCCCTGGACGGAGAGATTCTTTTCCTTCATTAAGACAGTGATGACGTTGCATGTTTCGAGTCCTTGTGCATATTCGATAGGATATGAGTAGATATCCTATTGAAGGTTGGGAATTAATACTAAATTCGGATATACGCGTTATATTAATTAGAATGAGTACGTACGTTTGACCAACAGATCATATCAACAGCAGCAAAGTATATGCGCATAAAGTTCGGATCATCAAACACCTCTGCAGGGAGGGTGATACCCAGTACAGCCTCAATAAGATCAAAACATGTGCGGACACCGCCATTCTCGCGACGCAATTTCGTGTATTCCTCGATGGAGAGAACTTCGTTGTCTGCTCGGAGACGTGCCTCGGTTGCAGTTGCATCGATGTAGGATATACAATGAGATATAAATCTCTCGCGGACGGCCTCGGAGATGTTGGAAAGTCGGTTCATATAACTAGACGGATGATATATGAGTATCAACGATATACAAAAATGTAGAACTTCTGGCTTACTCCTTGGTAAATGATGTAACTGGAGATTCGTCATCTCCACATCCTCCAGTCAAAGCCTTAACAAACACCTCTCTTGTCTTCGCCGCACTCTCCGCATCTTGAACATCCGTAATCTCATCCAGTACAAACAAAATCATATGGAAGTCATTAGAGATCCGCAGGCCCTCTGCATCTGCGTATGGGTTGACATATGAGCCTAGCAACTCCGCACTCGATGCGTACATCCGTTCGCGTAGCTGCTTCATTCCCAGTTCATTGTCATCTGGGAAGAGACTGCCAAGGTACCCGAGTATCCACTCTGTAGAGTCCCTACGTTTGGAAGAGTAGTATGGACTGGGCGAGCTCCAAGTGAAAGGACAGAGGGCAAAGAGGTCGGGGAGGTTGAGTTGAGTTGGCTGTTCTGAGTGCATATTTCTGAGTTCTGAGAGGTACTAGTTCGTTGAGTATTTCCCTGGAATTGTCATAGTGATTTTATACCAGAACCAGCAGGAGCTATATAAATGAACATGAGTAAATCTTTTCAATCTTTACGCCGACAGAGTCGGCAACTTGAAGAATTTGAGATATCCAAGCGACAACGAGCAGTCCAGCGCTAAATCACTGCAGACCAAGCAGGCAGAGTAATCACCATATTGGAGTGAAACATGCACGAGTTGCGATATCACTGGAACATTAATTGAAAGTATTGTGGCACAAAAGCAAGTTCTGGAAATAGACCTTCCCTTTGAAGCAAATAGCATACGTGTTACTACTAGGCGTCAAATAAAGACGATGCCGTGTCGTATCCGGTGGCAATTACATATTGCTGATTTTCGTCAGTATAACAGCTGCGGCGTCCGCGCCGGCGGTAGCACGTATAAACGCATCCTGTGGCACCGCAATCTTGCCAGCGCCGCCCTCTGTAATTGGACTAGAGCATGTAAATTTGACTTCAAAACCGGAGCAATCGGCATTTATCCCGACATCGTCTCCAATCATGGGTGAATCCCGTCTGTCAAAGTATGTGGATCAAAGATATCGGTCAATATGGCTTGGTCGATCCTATCATTGTGTTCGACGTGTATGTGTGTATGCGTGTATTTTGGATGAGTCGGTAAGTAGAAAATATGAGTGAAACGAGTGAACGAGAGCGAACGATGCGGACGATTGATGAGTAAGGTTAAAAAAGAGGGAGGGTTATATAAGCCGACGAGTATATGATATGGATAGCCAATTAAAAACTTCGATATTCTAAGAAAGCCGTCTCTAAGAGAAAAGTGTCAGCTGGCTACTCGAACACAATAACGAAACAAGGACATACCAAACAACCAAGGGAACCCAAAGCATCACCACGTTATAAATATATCCAATATCCTTTGAGTAAAATTACATTATTACGCAGTCCTTGGCATCCTTCTCTGCCTGTGCTTGCGCCATGCCCTTCCCACGTATACCCATGTCCTCGAAAGTTGCATACTTAGGAGTACCTGGTTGCGACTTAGCTCCTCGTCGGAGAGGTGGGGTCACGCCCAAGCCCGGCGAGCTCGGCTCGGACTGTGTATTAGGATGTGTATCGGAGACTGTACGTCGGATACCGGGATGTTGGTGCCCACCAGGACTAGAGGGTGCGGATATGGGACCGTCGTCAGTTAGCGTAAAGCGTGGTCGATCGGGGAATGCTTGTTGATGACTTGGCGCGCTTGATGGGACTGAGCAGCTTGATGAACGTGGAGGTGGCGAAAGAGTCTCAGTGCGATTTTGTAGAATACTCCTCGGGTAGGCATGAAATTGTGCCTGTGGTTGTGCTTGGCGCTGCGGTGAGGAGTTCTCGAGTGAAGATTGGCGTGGAGCAAAGGAACGATGTTGTGGTTGGGGTTGTTGACTTTGCATTGCGGAGAAGCTAGCAGCGGATTTTGGACTTCTCTACATAAAGACATCAGTCAGAATATCGTTCACATGAATCAGTCCTGTAAAGAATACTGACCTCCTCATACCATTGAGCCTCGTGCATAACCGCACGCTGCGTCCCGATATCCTCTTCCTCATTATCCTCCTCTCTATCAAGCGCAGCAGCGAGCTCAGCACCCGAAAGCACCTTCTCCTCCGGCTCTTCTTCTATAACGCCATATTTTTCATCGGGCATAAAATGACCATGCTCAATAATGACACCATGCAAGCTCTGCACGCGCACATGCGGGTCCGCAGCAGTCGTTCGCGCTTGCGTGATGCTCCGCGCACCCGAGCGCTCAGGTCCGTCATGCGAGAACCGTCCACGATCAAGCGCTACCTCAGCATGCAAGTTATTTGGTAGTGGTGAGGTCATATCTTGTCTTTTTGTCTTGCTAGATCTACCACCGAGTCCGGATGTGGGGAGTTGCGGAGGGCTATACGATCAAGTAGATGGTGGTCAAAGCAACCGAGAAAGACCCTCGTTTTTACTTTCTCGTGTCGTGTTACATACAGTTAAATTTTCGAGGCATCAGAGCTCGTAGCGCAGGGAAGCTATTGGGTAAGAGTGCTTGCCGAGCCTTAGCTAAGTAATAAGAACGGACGCCGAGAATAAACTTGTGACTTCTGAGTATTCAAATGGGGATTGGAAGCAGGGTTTCATTGATTGAGCTGTTTCCATCTTGTCGCTGGAGTTGAGAGACCCGCAATGTTCGATTTGAGCACGGTGGCCGATGCATGAGTAGTCCATGGTGATCGGAACACAAAATGTTGTGCCTTGTCGGAAACAGAGATAATTGCCTCCGGAGTCACGTGGGCAGCTCACGTGCCAATCTCCGTCAATTCCGATTCGTTAGGCCGCAAATTCATTATAAAATGTCACGTTCATCGTATATATTGATACATAGCTGATCAACAATTGTTTATAGCATAAAGCACTTTCTGTTACTAAAATGAACTGCACCGTTTTAGTCCCTCCGCGTAAACTTATCAGATAGTGGTCATGTCGACAACACAGCGAATACAATCGCCGGCCTGCAAAGTATACAGACATTAGTGTGAACTTGCGAAGGAGCTGTTGTCGGATACGCACATGCATATCATGGAAGCCTGCATTAATCTCATCAAACTTGCGGTGGTGGGTAACATATTCGTCCACCTTTACCTTCCCGGCGAGATAGTCTAAACGAAGAATAGCCATTACTTAATTCTGTAATATAGTCAAAGATGATCCTACCTTCAACGAGTCCCGGAAGCTCAGTTCGACCCTTCACGCCACCGAACGCAGATCCGCGCCATGTACGGCCAGTAACGAGTTGGAAACTGCAAGACTTATTGTCAACGATTTGGCTGTTACTTCGGATGGATGTGCTTACGGTCGGGTAGATATTTCTTGACCAGCAGCTGCAACACCGATGATTGTCGAGATACCCCATCCTTTATGACAGGCCTCGAGAGCTGCGCGCATGACTTGAACCTGCCATGACCATTTGATTAAGTACAGTCGAGGACATGAAGAGTGGAGGGCATACATTTCCAGTTGCGTCGAACGTATAGTCAAGACCACCATCCGTAACTTCAATGAGGAAGTCCTGAATCCTCTTCCCTTGAGGAAGCTCGAGCGGATTGATGAAATCCGTCGCTCCCATCCTCTCAGCCCAGCTCTTCTTGTTAGGATTGGTGTCAACCGCGATGATACGCGATGCACCAACAAGTGAAGATGTCTGGATGACGCCGAGCCCAATTGCACCACAGCCAAACACTGCGACACTGGATCCCTCTGACCGTCAAATACAAAATTAAAATTATGGAGCTTAAAGGATAAGTTAAATTAGGAACCCACTAATTCCAGGCTGCTTTACGACTGCTCCCCAAGCTGTGGTAATACCACAACCTAAAAGACAGGCGCGGTCCAGACGAGCTGCCTTGTTAATTGCTACAACAGATACATCGGCGACAACTGTGTACTGCGAGAAAGTCGAAGTTCCCATCTACCGGGAGATTTAGAACTGCATCCCATGAAAGGCTTTGTTAAGGACAAGATACTTACGAAGTGATGGATCTCCTGGCCCTTACACGTGAAGCGTTTGGTTCCATCAGGCATGACGCCCTGTCCTTGCGTCGTACGAACTATACATAAAACAAATCAGTCATCAATCAACCCTCGTATCGCCCCCGAACATTTCGGTGCCATGTGACTGTACCTTTTCCACACAGGTTAGTCTTCCCACTCTTACAGAACTTGCACTCTCGGCATTCTTCGAAGTCGCGTTAAAATGGTTTATCATAAACTTAATAGATCCCATGACGTCTCACCTGCTGTGTATAGGGGGATAACATGATCACCCTATCCGACAAAGCGTGAGAGTTATAGACTTTAATTGGATGAAGCAAAGGCGTCGAGAACTTACGGGTTGGACGCTGGTGACGCCTTCGCCGACAGATTCGACCTGTGGAGAAATTAAGCGCATATATTTAGCATTTATTATGGTCGCGATAAGAGTGGTGAAATAATTTACAATTCCACCACCTTCATGACCGAGGATCACGGGGAAGAGACCCTACGTCAAGCCATTGCATTCAGCATTGGGAGAAATCAGATCCAGAGAACGCATATACGGACTTCCGGGTCCTTCCCACTTCGAGTGTACTCATCCGTATGGCAGATGCCTAAGTACAATCAACGCAACAGAGTTCAGTCAAACTAGAATATCGACCCATCATTCTTTCTCCACTTACCAGTATGCAGGATGTGAATGCGAACTTCATGCGCTTTCGGAGGTGCGACCTCAACCTCTTCGACTTTGAGCTCCTCGCCAGCTGCCCAGCAAACTGCGGCTTTGCACTTGATAACTTTTCCAGCGGTGTCCGACATAGTTAATAGTCCTAGAGATGGGGATAAGAAGATAAGGGTAGAATGGAAAGAGTTGAGAAAGAGGTCAAGTGAGAAGCTTACTGTTTTATAAGCACCACTGAGAATATGACGGAAGGCGCGGAACGCGATCGAGAATTCAAAGCACACGTGAGAAAATGGCGCCTTATCCGCTGCACATCGCCCATTGTACAAGTTTAATCCCGCCCCGACATGTCATTCGCAAACTTATATTATAAACGCGTGCGTCATCCTAAACGTGATGGTAATATGCGAGAGACTGAGATGATAGACACTGGGGATTAGGCAGCAGCCACTGAAAAAGCGTGCTTCATTTGCTCGAGGCCGACGACCACAGTCCTCGCCACCAAGGACAGCGTCGATTTCTTCTACGCATGTGACGGACATCTTAAAGATCACGGATTCGCAAGCCTCGCAGGAGAGAGCGGCGACGGCGTAACAGGCGCACGTAAGCTTGGACTAAGCGACGAAGAGATCCAGAAAGTCAAGGAGGAATACGAGAGGAAACAACAGAAGAAGGAAAAGGAGAAAGAGAAGAAAGACAAGGCTGATGATAAGGACAAAGCAGAGGAAGGGAAAGAAAAGGCGAAGGAGACAGAAAAGACGAAATCGAAGGATATAAGTCCGTCACCAGGACTTGCACCCTCACAGTCAAGCGGGACTTCTACTCCCGCGGGAACGCACCAGCGATACACTCTTCATCGTGAAATCTTCGCCATGCGATTAGGAATTCATCGCAAACGACGGCAGACTGCACAAGCCAAAGAGGTTGCTCCCCGTCTTCCCAGTGCGCCTCGACTTCCTGTCAATAATCCGCCCAGTTGAATTACCAGTTCGTCGTGAAATACCATATCTCCATCCTCTATCAATATCCTCCATCAGTGGGTCGGAATGTCACTTAATCTTGCACTTGTTATGCTGACATATGTAGCCTGTACCAATAGTGCTATCAATGCTCCGGATGACCACCAATAATGTGTCGGTACACACTTGCTAGTTTCAGTATTCACTCGAATACTTTCATTTTTTATTCTTTTCTTGATTTTTAATTTTTAAATTTTTAATTTCATCCTGGTACATTTCCGATCGATAAAGCGTGAATTTGCAGGCGAGCATACATTCACATACCCTCTTAACGCTCCGTGTAAGCCGGACTCTGCTAGTTTGCATGGGAATTCCTGTGCATGTCAGTTGCCAACTGTCCGTCCGAGTGCCAGTGGTGTCTATCTGCAAAATCAATACGCCAAAAATACATAATGATAGTACACGAAGGATACTGTTATCTGCCCTCTTTTAGATTGTCTTTGGATGTGAGTAGAACTCTCTCAGATGCTGAACTGTCCCAGCTATGCATATAGGCTTCGGGTGCTCAAGGTGGATTGTATCAAGCAAATACAATGATTTTTCGCTACTCTAAGATTTATACTTTAGTGGCTATACAATTGAAAATATCTTATTGCATTGTGTGATGTTGGGAGAAAGCCAAGCACAGTACATTATCCAATTTATACATTATGTCAATGTGTTTTGGCTGAGACTTAGAGTTGTGGTCTGAGCAAAATTAAACGTACATTAATGATTAAGTATACTGTATATGTTTTTGTCACGCAATAAGATATTTTCTACTGTATCCCATAGGTCACCCATACAATATCATCCTATCATCGTGACAGTCAGTCAATGACATTCAATTCTAAAATTACAGCAAAATGTCAATGATGCAAACGATCGAAGTGGCGAATCCCTATCTTCGGTGTCTATGATCGGCATTTACCCGCCGGAAAGCGCCAGATGCAGCTGTTTTCTTGTTTCAACCGAACCGAACGCAAGCCCGCGTGCTGCCCATCGCCGTCCTCTTCCCTCGCTTACATCTCTTTCCCAAACATACAAGCTCCCAAGGAAGCCTGAATATTCTAAAGGCGTATCACAAAGGAGATGGACCCTCAAATCATAGATGCCCAATTTGATCGGGCAGTGCAGATAGTACAGTCTCTTCCCAAGACAGGACCGATCCAGACGGGGTACGAGGAGAAACTCGCCATGTACAGGTATACATTCACCCTCTAAAATCCATTCTCTTGTCCTCATTTTTATCTTTTATATTGGGATAGTTTGTACAAGCAAGGTTTGTTTCATAACCTCGATGCAAACTCGAAGAACAAGACTGACGATCTCTCTACCTCCGCATGTGCGCGCCACACGAAATAGCTACTGTTGGGAACGTGGCTGGTGGTCGTCCTGCAATGTGGGATATGCTTGGAAGAGCAAAATGGTGAGTTCTTTTGTTGAGCTCGCCGTCCCTCACCGACGCCATTGGCATCATCTCTTCGTGCGGTGTATTTTCTGTACACGCGGCTTTCACGTGTTTTCTCATGAAGCGGAATGTTCACTCACTTTTTCTGCACCGCACATAGGGATGCATGGTCAAAACATAAAGAATTAGGAACGTACGAGGCTAAGTGGCAATATGTCGAGGAGTTGTTACGGGTATATATACTATGATTGGTATATTCGACGTCCGGGTCATCAAGCTCATGTTGGCGATTTTGCGCTATTTTAACCTAGGTATTACAAAAGTATCCAGATAAGACCCTGGCACAAGACTTGATAAGGGAACTCGAAGCCTACGACCCGAGTGCTAACGTCCTGATGAGTGGTGAGTCTGGCTATTGCTTACGAAGGAAGGTACAATTGCTGAATAGTACGAATAGGATCATTCTCAAAATCCCACGACAGCGACTCAGACTCTGATTCGGAGGAAGAGGAACGAACGACAGGTCAAGGGCAACTTCCACAGCAGCAGCACGCAGAAGGCTCAGATGACGATGGAAGCAATTCAGGTGACGAACACGATGATCAAATTGGCGAAGGACTCCCTCGACAGCAAGTCATGTCGAACCCCAACCTGAACCGAAGTCTCCTGGGCCGTCCTCAGAGCTCTCATTCGTCAAATAGATATCGAACACCTATGGGCGGTTCTGCTGCTCTATCTCCACCTCCAGGACCTTCCGGTCCGGCAACGTACATGACACAGTCTCAGCAGCTCCCTCAACCTTATGGCCAATTACCGAGGCATTCCGGTGTTTACATCCAGCCGCAGTCTGTCCAGCATGGATTCGGAGCGTTAGGCGCTCCTTCCGGTATGAGTAGCTCGGTGCCAAATGTCCAGCCAATGCCAGGTTTCGAGACTCCATCTGCCTTCCCTGGTCCTTCACCACCACCCATAGCCTCGGGCGTTCTCCCGCATGCATCGGGGATGTCCGTATCTGCGTCAGGAGGAAGTTCATATACGAACGTCGTACATCCATATCCAGAAAACATGTACCCAGGACATCCGGCATATCGAGTAACTTCACACCATAGCAACAGCCCAGGACAGGTAGCAGGTTCGGGCCAGGGTGTAGTAAGCTCAATTGTCACAGGCGCAAGTATACGTTCGCCGCTTGAACGGGCCGTAGAGAATGTTCAAGCGCATTTGACTGCTCTACAGGAACGTATGGACATTATCGAAGGTCGCTCAATAGGCGGTTCACCGTACGGGTCTTTTAGTGGTGGTCGAGGCGGACCACAGGGTGGAGGAAACTCGCCGCTTGGTTCTCCATATCGTTCTTCTTACTTCGGTGGCGCAGGAGGTGGACGAGGAAGAGGGTACGAAAGTTCAATTTGGACTTGGCTCACGGAGTTTGACGAGGATTACTTTGGGTGGGATCACATGGGATTATGGAGTACCGTACTCTCGCCGCTTGCACGTCTTACAAAGTTCCTCGGACGTGTAGTGTCATTCCTTTTGGCGAGAAGAGATGCTGAGGGGACAAGACGTCGTCCGCTTTCCCCCGGGCTTGCCATTTTGCGACGTCTGCTGCTTGACGCGTCGTTTGTGCTTCTTGTTGCGTACGTTGCTCGGCGAGCGTGGAGACGGAGCGGTGTACGTAGGAGGGAAGTCATACACGCGGTGAAAGGTGTTTGGCGTGCTATTGTTGGACAGGGAACGGAGTTGAGGCAGCTTGTGGAAAAGGGAGTGTAAGAAACGAGACTTTGGTCCTCTCTAGGCTCGTTTGCTGTGATTTTTACGACTCTTAAGATACCACCCCACACAATGTACCGAGTATTGTAAATATTATGGCATGATTAATGACATATACATGAAAATATTGCGAGAATAAAGGGTTGAGTGAAAGTGGATTGATCTCCCCATGTACCAAAGCCAGTACATCACACTTGCAAGTGCGATACCGTCCGGAATATTACGATTGGCCTACGATGCTCTTCGTTCTTTCGCCGTTTTCTTCATTTGCTCCAAAACAGGTCGTGACGAAACGTCCTGAACGGCTGGCTGGTTCTTGCCCCTTGACACCCCTTGGGCCCACATATATTTTAATCCACCTCTTACCACCTCTTCTCGCTCACTAACGGGCTTTCCTGAAACATAAAAGTAATCAGAATAACTCGAAACCAAAAAAGGAAGATAAACTCATCCAGTCCAAAAAAAAAGGTGGAATCGTGAAATGAAGTATCGAAACAGAGTGACAACGTACCTCGCCAAACAAGTCTCCCCCACGCCCGTCCCCTCGTCCCCTCATGTTCAAGTTTCACCCTCGAGATTTCCCAGAAACTACCCTCGATGCCCTTGGATTGCCAACGAGTTTGGAAGACGCGTGCGCCGACGCCGTCCCGTGGAAGGCGCGCAAGTGTTTCGTAGAGGTTGCGCGGTTTGTTGGAGAGTGCTTCGACGGTTTCTTTGGGTATGAGGTTTGCTATTGCGCGTGGGAGGATGTTGTTGCGGAGGATGCGAGAGGCGTTCATGGTCGTGAACTGGATGTGCTGCGTTGAATTTTTGGTTTAGTTTAAAGAGTCGAGAGTCGAGACTTTGACTTGCTTGGAGATTTGCAGTGAAGAAGTTATTTCCTTTTATAGAGATCGACACGAAAGATCGGCGGGCCGATCATTAGAATAGTCCAATCCAATCTAATTTAATTATTAGATTACCTGGACTTCGCAGTACGTACGCACGGAGCCTGAATTTCTTAGCTGCTCTCCACCACCAACATCAAGCACAATCCATACAACGCTTCTACGGGCGACGATAACCAAGATGTCTGCATCAAACACCAACAAGCCAACCGTCGGCGAGAACGAACCACTATACATCGGAATCGACGTCGGAACAGGCTCCGTACGCGCCGCACTCGTCGCGCATTCAGGCGGGATCGTGGCGTCCGCGACAAAAGAAACCAAAACGTTCCGCGCGTCGGACGATCACCGTATCTTCGAGCAGTCTACAACAGATATCTGGGACGCAATTTGCCTCTGCGTCGCGCAAGTACTTGGAAAGGATGGGAAAAGCAAGATAGATCCTGCGCGTGTGAAGGGTATTGGGTTCGATGCGACGTGCTCGCTTGCTGTTACTGACTTGCAGGGGAACCCTGTTACGGTGACGAAGGGTGAGGACCTTGGTAAAGTTGGTGAGAGGAATATCATTCTTTGGGCGGACCATCGAGCGGAGGAAGAGGCGAAATTGATTAATAGTACGGGGTCTGTTGTGCTTGATTATGTTGGGGGTGTGATGAGTGTAAGCCTCAACTCAAAATTAATACAGTATACCTCTAATACTATATTGACGATGATATTCTGTAGCTTGAGATGGAAATCCCTAAAACTCTCTGGCTTAAGAAACATATGGACAATTCCCTCTTCTCGCGCTGTCAATTCTTCGATCTACCGGACTTCCTCACGTATCGCGCCACGGACGAGATAACCCGCTCCGCATGTTCTATAACATGTAAATGTTCCTACGTTCCAGACAAGGGCGAGGATGGTCCTGCAGGTTGGCAAGACTCGTTCTTTGAGCAGATTGGACTTGGCGAGTTCATCCAGAATAACTATGCGCAACTCGGTCCGGTCAAAGACAGCACAAAGAAGAATAGGAAGAAGACCGATACGTTGACGGCTGGTCTTCCTGTCGGAAAAGGCCTGGGCGAGAAAGCTGCTAAGGAACTTGGGTTATTGACAGGCACTCCTGTTGGTAGTGCCGTAATTGACGCGTGTGTCTTTACTTTTCAATCTATTAACTTAAATAACAGCACAGTATATGCTAACATGTATTAGCTATGCAGGGTGGGTTGGAACGATTGCCGCAAAGCATTCTCCAGATTCAGCTATCGCTACGCTTGAGACATCAAGACACCGTCTTGCTCCCTGCGCTGGTACATCTACTTGCTTTATTGTACAATCTCCTGAAGGTGTCTTCGTACCTGGAGTCTGGGGCCCTTACAAAGATGCTGTCTTCCCTGGTTGGTGGATGAACGAAGGGGGCCAGAGTTCTACAGGACAGGTGCATTCGACATCACTGTGCGGATATAGCGCATATACTCAGCAATTTTACGTTCTTATTCTATAGCTGATCGATTTCATGATTACGACACACGCAGCTTATCCACAGCTGAAAGAAATTGCGGAGAATGAGAAGACTAGTATCCATATCGTCCTCGCTAACGAATTGGAAAGACAGCGTAAAGAGAAAGGGTTCGAGACTTTGACGGAGCTAACAAAGGACATGCATTTATATCCTGACTTGCACGGTAGGTATCCCCTCTCATAAACCCACATTTCACACTTTTCTCCTCATGCATATCTGTATTTATGAATACCCCCCAGGTAACCGCTCCCCAATCGCCGACCCGGAAATGCGAGGCTCCATCACAGGGCTCCAACTCGACAGCTCCCTACACGACCTCGCCCGCAAATTCCACCTCACACTCGAGTCCATCGCCCTCCAAACTCGACACATCGTCGACTCCATGAACACAGCCGGCCATCAAATTAGTGAACTCTATATGAGTGGGGGACAAGCTAAGAACGCGAAACTGATGCAGCTTTTTGCGGATGTTGTGGGGATGCCTGTTGTGTTACCGGAGTCGACGGCGGATGCTGTGTCGAGGGGGAGTGCGATGCTTGCTAGGTTTGCGAGGGAACGGCAGGAAGGAAATACAAAACAGGATCTGCTCTGGGATATCATGGTCAGTTACGTTTTTCTTTCTTCGGTAGTCTTTCCGTCCTTTGATTTAATGGCGCTAATTTGTGACCCTCCTTCAAGGTTGAAATGACACCAAGCGGAACACTCGTCTCACCAGCTGCCTCCCCACGCGAGAAGAAACTCCTCGAGGCGAAGTACAAGATCTTCCTGGAGAGCATCGAGATTCAGAAACGCTGGCGGAAGGAAATCGCTGCTGCAAGTGCATGATACTGCACTGCAAACACTTAAAGCAAATAGAAATAGACGGAGTAAACTGAGAAAACCGTAAAAATAAAAATGATATGTATATGATTTCTGCATAGACGCGTTTTGAGTAAATAGGATATACACGCCACGGTGATATTCATTGAGAGTAAGCAACTCTGATCGACACGAATAGATCATAATAGGTGATCTTTCAACGAAAAGGCGACTATTCTATAGCATACATGTTGAAAAAATATGCATAATGAAATAAGACTAAAGATATCCAAGATCAAGGCACAAAGCCTACCAGCATGGTATTGGTTAATCGACTTCCGTTTAATAACGACCATACCCCCGTCCACGTCCTGCATATGAAGACTGAGGGGTACCTCGCCCATATCCTCCATAATTTGTCTGACTCTGACCGTACTGCCCAGCACTGGCACTAGAACCGCCTCGTCCGCCACCGTATCCTCCACCAGATCCTCCATATCCACCAGATGCATCACTTCTGCTACCTCCGTAACCGCCGTATGAAGAAACGCCTCCGCTTCCGGTGTTGCCATATCCACCATACCTATCTCGCGAGTTCCCACCATAAGCATTGCTATTGTATCCTGACGAATATGACTGCGTCTGTCCATATCCTCCTCCACGTCCTGAACTACCACCACCATAGGACGGCGGAGGCGGAGGCCGACCATAACCAGTGTTAGGTCCACCACTACCTTGATATGCGCTACTCTGTCGTCCATAAGCACCACCAACGGGTTCAGCTTGGTAAGTCGACCGTGAAGGAGGGCCTCCGTATCCTGGCTTACTATAGTCTCCTCGTCCTCGAGGTGGAGGGAGTCCTCGGTCAGGGTAAGCGTTGCTTCCACCGCCATATCCACCGTACCCACCACCTTGTCCACCGTACCCACCGCCTTGTCCACCATATCCACCGCCTTGCCCACCATACCCACCGTTCCTCCCATTACCGCCGTACCCGCCATAAGATTGTCCATTCCCATATCCATTTCTCTGTGGTCCGCGCCCATAGCCCTCTCTACCGCTATTGATGGCGTGGAACCCTACATCCCGACCTCGTCCACGTCCCCGGCCTCCCGACCGAATCGTCTCGAAGTCTTCCTTGCCGAGTACACGCGGCGGGCGACGAACACCGGGTAAAAGCACAGAATGATGGGGTACAAGCTGCTTCGGGAAGAGGTACAGTGCAGCAAGTGAGCAGTCTCCGGATATGTCTTCCAGACCTTGACTCGTAAGTGGGCTTTCATATGTAGATCCCGGCACGCAAGCTGGGTCTGGGAGAAGACTTCCATTCAGGCCTTTACTATGGTTAGGATCGATTAGAACGGGCTAAATTGATACAACATTAGCCGATCAAACTTTCCAAATAGTTAATCAAATAACAAACCTTATCGTCCTTGCGCTTCGCATAAAGGCTCTCCAGCGAGGGATACAAGGGATGTTCATCTGCAACGTATATGACATTGTTACCCCATGTATTCCTTCGAACCTCTTCCTCCGTCAACCCTTCGTACCGCGCATGCATAGCGTCTAGTAACCGTTTCTCGTCAATAAAAGGCAACAAGGCCACGCCTTGCCAGGCCATCCTCTTCCCATTCATATCGATTTCGAACGTTTTGGGGTAGAAGTCAATAATTGGTGAATCAGTATTGGTCATGAGGCAGTGAAAGACCTCAGGGATATGTTGTCGACTGAAAGTGAAGTCAAGGTCAGTAAGTATCTATCTCGGAGGAAGTAAAGCAAGTCACAAACCTTGCGGCAGGGAAGACGCCCATCAATTGCTCGAATGGCTTGAACGGCTGGCCAAGATCGAACTTGATATCCATGCCTCCTAAGTCCCAGAAATCCGCAGCGAAGGGAGCGAAATGGTATGGGTAGTACCACGTCCAAGACGGAGTCTATAGGTTAAATTGTAAGTACATTGGCCGAGTTGTTCAAATACAAAGTGCGTACTCCTTGATAATAGTATTGCAGTACCCAACTCATACCTTCTATATATGAGGTGGTAATTCTACACAGGGTAGGAAATCAGTAACTGATAAAAGGATTGCGCTGCGAATTCTGCGTACTTTCTTCTAAATTCAGTATCACTGTACTCCACTCCAAACTTCTGCATGTAATATCGTTCCTTGTATCCAGGCTCCCATAGCCTCACGAAGACAGATTAGTTATAATAAATTAGTAGAAGTTTGAATAAGCTTACTTCACGGTGTCCTCCTGCTCAACCGTGCCGTCTGGATTGACATTCAGAGTTAGAGTCTTTTTCGTAGTAGGTGCATCTTCTTCTTCATCATCGGGACCCAAGTCATAGTCCTCATCGTCTTCACCTTCAGCGTCTGCATCGTCGATTTTTCGCTTGACACCGCGTGGCGACGAATCACCATCAGCAGTCTCACCATCTGGAAGAGGTGCAGGCTGCTCAATTTGTTTCGCTTCGGATGCAGAATCGTCAGTCATAGGCTGTTCACCTGTGCCAGGCACATTTTCATCTACGCTGCTCTGTTGAGACTGGGCAGAAACTGGCTCCATCGGAGATGGAGTCGTTGCCTTTGCGGCAACGTCGACTTGCATGGCTGTCGCCCGCGCCTCAGTCGGACCTTTCTTCCACGCATCAGGGTTCATCGGAGTAGCAGTCATCATCTCCGCTTTCAGCATTTCGGCTGCACTAAGGTTAGCCGTACGAACCTGCTGCCTCTTGTCAAGCGAGTCAGAGCCAGCACCTGGTGCACCGAACCCCAGGGAATTTGCAGCATTCTCAAAGCTATCGAAGTTCGGACGTGGAGGCAATCCATGAGGACCTGACAATCCTGGAGGCACAGAAGGAGTGCCAGAGAGTTGAAGAGAAGCTGAAGGCTTGACGGACATCATTGATACGTTCTTGCGTTGCTCAGCCTCAATTTTACGTCTCTTCGCATTCTGTTCCTGCCTTTCCTCGGCTATATAAACATATCAGATCATGATGAATATTGACTCTTAAGGTGCAATCAGATAAATAGTTTAGCAGACCTTCCCGTCTACGTCTGAAGATATGATCTTCCTCTCTGGCGACACCCTCAAGTATGAGACCAGCACGATCATACTCAAGCTTTCCATGGTTCGTTATGTAACCGCCCATTCTTGGTAGTTCTCTCTTCCAGATCTTTAATAGTGTGTCGATTGCACCCTCACGAATTTCGAGGGAAGGAAGATGTGGGAGGAAGTCATTTCCGACGAAGAAGATGAGGAGCACCCAGTCATCAATGGCACGTTCAAAGTCAAATGGGAAGGGAACATTGGAGACGTTGAGTTCGATTTCAAGGTATTCTCGAAGGGTAGGGACGTCGAGGAAAATGAATGGTTTTTTTGTTATGGGTGCAGTTTTTGTGTCGTGCTCATCTGCCTTAATCTTCGCCTCGCCAGTGCATTGGGCTGCATAATGTCCCTCCTGGCCACAGGTACGGCATGCAGTTGAACTAGTGTCTTGGAAAAATACATCCTCACGAAGAACACGGAAATGTGGTTCATGGGTAGCAAGAGATAGCATGATAAGATCGGCATCCTGGACGAGAATAAAGTGATGAGCCAATTTATTCGACGTATGTGAGCAAGACGTCTTACCAATCCATATATTACGTGACGGGTGTTAGGATCATGACCAGGATTTGAGCGCTGTCTACGAATGAAGTCCATAATCTTGTGTTCACCCTCACCAGGAACACTCGCATCAGAAATGATGACCTCCAGATTCTTCCAACCTGGATCGGTGTTCATCTTCTGCACAACCCAGTATCGTAGAGACTTTGCAAGGAGATCCATGAATGGAGTCCCGGGAGTGATGGCATTTGAGTCCCAGGTCTTCTTATTCCGCATCTCGTCTGTGACATTCTGACCCATCGCTAACAATCCAATGGATTAATATGCAATTAGACATCATTAACACCAACGACTTACACTCCCAAAGCAGCAAGCTCTCTTCCCTTGCTTGTTCCTTATCCTTCGCCTCTTGAGACGCACGGAACCGACGTGACCGCTGTTGGTTCATCTTCGCACGCGGAGCAACACCATCTATGGACCAGTCAGCATTTGCTCGCACAACTAAACATGAGATATAAGGCTTACCTATAGCCATAAGCAAAAGCTTACGGGGTCGTACCATATTTACGACTCGCTCAGTATATTTGAAGATCTCCACCATCATCTCTTCCTCAGTTTCCGGTGCGGGTTTACCTTCAGGATGCGTACAGGGGTGGACCTGTGAAGAAATCAGTATATGGAGAAGTTTTCATGTAACCCGGACTTACAATCCCATTCATGTCAAGATAAAGGTTGTCAAATTCAGTGCCATTTGGATTAGGAGCGCTAAAGTCTATCGGTACGGTGATTTCTTCCCCATCTTCGCCGGACATTTTTTGCTCCTCATCTTCAACGACGGGCAAAACTACAGAAGACGTGTTTTATGAGCATTGTGCACTGAAAGCTGCAGTGAATACAATAACGCACCGATCCTAGAGTATTTCTTGCTAAGCCACCTGAAAAGAGCGGGAACACCCTTTAGTGCAGAAGAAAAAGTCAGTCAAACTCTCCGTTGGAAAATGAAAGTCCCAACACACCATGATTTCTCGATATGATTATTAGACGAATCAAATAGAGTAAAACCGTTATTCTAGATAAAGTATCCTGCAACGAAAGGATGGTTTGCGGTTGCGACCGCGGACAGCAGAGAGTGTCGCTGACGCTGACTGAGTGCAGTTCAGTAGACCTGTGACTGACGCTTGGGTGCCACAGTCGGAGTGGACTGACTGGGAAATAAGTTCTCACGACCACAGAGCCTTATTTAGGAAGTGCATATGCACAACTTGTGAGTCATAAACGCGTTGACTCTAAAGCGGAGTGGTCACTACAACGTTCTTGAGTCTGCTACAGAATCACTAGTCGCATCACACACAAACGTTGACTCAATATTGTTACCGTTTAAAGAGTACTACTGGTCATGGCCGCACCTGCCGAACACGCACGGCCTACTTCGTCGATTCCAGGATCAAACATTACTCCGCAGACCAGCGGCAATGCAGCTCCCTCAGGACAGCAAGACGGAAGGCCGAAGCATAAGAATATGACAAAGGCACAAAGGAGAGAACTTCAAGAAAGTCAGCGTGCTGCTAAGGCGGCAGCTGCGGCACAAGGAGGAGAAAAAGGTGGCCCAAAAGGCAAGGGTACTGCAAAGCCAGGAGGAGTACAGGCAAGTGTGCCCAATACGCCAGGGAGGCCGAGGAGGCCAACAGAAAGCGGAGATACGCCGACACGATCTGTGTTCGGTCAAGCACGAGGGCCCGGAAGGGATGCTCGTGACTCGACACATGGAGAGGATACTGGCTTGTCGACTCGCGGTCTTCGAATATTTGCGCATTTTGGACTACCGAAGGCACCGAGCAACGTGAAGGGCGACATTCACCCTGCAATTGTTCGCCTCGGGCTTCAGTTCTCAAGCTTCAAGCTGACCGGGGCCAATGCACGTTGTATCGCCACGTTAACTGCGTTTAAAACCGTACGTACTTTGTTACTTTTTAAAATTAGTTTTGGGAATTTATCTGTCACTGCAAAAGGTAATTCAAGATTACTCTACTCCTCCTAATACGACCCTCTCCCGGCATCTGATGACGCATCTTAATCCGCAAATCAATCACCTGGTTTCGGCGCGTCCCATGGCAGTGACTATGGGTAATGCTATCCGGCAACTTAAGCTAGAAATAAGTGGATCAGACATCGACATGCCTGAACAGGATGTGCGTAATACTTTAATTTGTGTTGTAGCTGCTTTGATTGTTTGCATGATTTAGGCAAAGGACCTCTTATGCCGCAAGATAGACAATTACATCCGGGACCGAATAATTATTGCGGACCAGGTTATCCAAGATTCTGCTGGTCAGAAGATTCGAGACGGCGATGTCATTCTCACTTTCGCTAGGTTAGTTGTATTGCTCATCTTAAATCAAACTTCATTTATCACAATTGCGAACCATCAGATCATCTGCCGTCGAGAAAGTCCTACTTCGAGCTCACGAAGATGGAAAACGGATATCCGTTATCGTCGTTGACTCACGACCAATGCTAGAGGGGAAACACCTATTGTCCGTACTCACAGCAGCAGATATTCCTTGCACGTATCTGCTGCTTCCTGCGCTAGGCTCCGTCATCAGTCAAGCCAGTATTGTCCTCCTTGGAGCACACTCATTACACGCCGATGGTGCGGTGTACGCTCGTTCGGGCAACGCGCTCGTCGCAATGCTCGCAAAAGCACATGGAGTCCCAGTCCTTGTATGCTGCGAGACTTACAAATTCGCGGAGAGTGTCATTCTTGATGGTTTTACGAAGAATGAACTCGCGCCAGCTGGAGATATCTTCCAAACGTTCCCACGGGTGATCCCCCGCGAACGACTAACATTGGAGCCGTCGCCGAACCTGGAAATACGTAACCCGTTGTATGATTTGACACCACCAGCGAATATTACGGCAGTGGTGACAGAAGTTGGAATCATCCCGCCTAATTCCATCAGCTCTATACCGCTTACTCTTGGGCGCCAGACGATTTAGAGTGTAGATGGTTAGACATACTAACAGATGGCTATATATAATTTAATCCGTAACCAACGCTGGCTATGATGCTTGCGACACGGCCAACTTCGATCATTGAATCATTGCCAGATTAGAAGATGTGTAGGTGTTCAAACATTCCCATGATCTCGACTACAACTTGGTGGATTCTCCGACATAGAGGAATCCTCTGGCTCTCGAAGAATCGCAGGCGTCCTCCGAAACGGAACGTAAGAATTGGAGACTCAGACCTAGAAGGCAATACCCTTTGGCGACTTTCCGGAGGCTTCGGTTCCGAACCGTTGGTGTCTCATTGTCTATTTATATCCTCACTTTTTCGCACAGATTAAAATGTAAACCCACCAACCCGACTAGACACACATTCGCCGCCACTTCTCAAGCGAACATGAGGAAACAGCTGCACATCATGTATGTCAAGGAAGGTAACAGACATGAGTCCTGGAGGTTAAATGCACGTCTCCTCCTGACATTTGGTTCCGGCGTCTAACTGTTCCCCAATCCAAATATCTTCTTTATGACTAACCGGTAGGAAAGACCTGTGCACGAGTAATTGCCGACGTCGCTCTGCGCGAATCAATTGGGGACTGGCATCACCTTCGCAGCAAATTGAACAAGTTACATAAAGGCCGAAACATGCAGAATAAGGTTAGTTCGACCCTGACCGTATTGACGGTTTTGTCATATGTTGAACTCAATGACTCGGTCCACCTCACGGTCACTACACCACAACTCGGATTAGATTGCGATCTGGTAGATGGATATTACTCTTAGACTCGTAGGCTGTGTCAAGTCCATGGACAACGTGTCTACTCGTAGCGGACAGCACCGCTCCGTCGTGCCGATCGTTCGCTAGTGAAATCAACATAGGCGCGCACAGAATCACCGTACTTTGACTGGGCGCATCACACTCAATCGAATTTTGTTCACCGTAACTGCATATCATAACTGCGGTCCACGTAGGCTACAACAAATTTCGGAGTCCGCCGCTCCGTGTGCAAAGTAACTTATAGAGTGGCTAACTGAATTTCTCGCGGAGAGCTTTCCCCCCTTCCCTACCTTGCATAGTCAGCCCGATCGCCCTTGCCTAAAAGCCTGTTTACGCTTTCCCTACTGATCAGTCATCCGGACTGGGCACGCAGTTATGTCTAACACTGGTTACAGCTATGATTATCTCCCTCTTGGCCCCAACCGCAGAAGAAATTACCTCTGGATTCTAGCAGGCGGGCTGGCACTACTGGTCTTCATCAACTATATTGCCTTGAAGTCCCTTCGCGTACCGCCTGGTATTTATGATACATTCCAGCCCCTGTCGGTTCCCGTTTCGCTATTCGATCACAGAAAGAAGCTCACAAGTTATTACCCTTTAGCAACTCGCTTTCACCCGTCCACCAAGGCTCCCTAAACGCTTTCGGCAATGACACGGCTTCACTTATCATTCCAAAACCAGACGAACGTGCAGTCGTGACAACACTCTATTCCGAAGAGTTTTTCCCGGCCGCACTTGCATTAGGCCGGTCATTACAAGACGCCACAATCGCCGCTCGCCGTATACTTCTTTACTTTTCGGACCGCATCTCTGACCGGACACTATGCCAATTACGTGCAGGTGGCTGGGAACTCCGTCCCATCGTGCGTATCCCGCCTCCGAATGGAGGGAAGGGGGTCCATAAGCGATTCTTTGACCAATATTCGAAACTCCAGCTATGGACTCTGGACAAAATCGGTATCAAGAGTGTTGTATATCTGGATGCCGATATGGTCGTTCGCCAGAATTTCGACGAGTTGTGGGCACTGCCGTTCGAGTTCGCTGCTGTTCCAGATGTATATGAGGATAATCGAGGCTTTGCGTTGAGTTTCAATGCAGGGATGTTGTTCCTGCGTCCTTCAACCGATGTCTTCAAAGATATGATGCAGAATATCGCGACAGCAGACTACAGACGACTAGACGCAGAGCAGGGCTTCTTGAACATGTACTTCGCCTCACAGGTCGTACGACTGCCATACATCTACAACGCAAACCTTGTGATCAAGCAACGCAGTCCAGCAGTATGGCAAGCTATTGAAAAGGACATGCGTGTCGTACACTACACGATGATGAAACCGTTCCTGGAAAAGGAAAGACATCGCGCATCGACCGGACACTGGGAAGCAGAGCTGGAGCTTTGGGACGCAGCTTGGAAAAATACATTTAAGGATATACAAGGGAAGTGTTGAACTAGATAACAGAAGAGCCTTTTGGATATGACAGATCGTCACATCGACTCCCTCTCCGGTTTGAAACCTGCTCGACGCTATCCGACGATGATGGAGCTCCCTCACAAGTTGTGTTTACGAACACAGATACCAATCTGACGGCGGTGATGGACTTGATGCAGGAGTTTAGCATCCAACCCTTGATTGAGAGCTAAAATTAGCAGCCTCTTATACAGACGGGAACAATGTATCATTGTATGGGGGCATTTAGACGCTGCCTGCAATGTCGAATGCTCACATTAATTGGGATGGGACGGTATAATAATAGAACGGACGTCTCCGTGCTGCTTTGTATCTCTCGTATATATATAAAAGGCAATCTCTTACGCTGCATCAGACTCACGAAATTACTAGGTGACGCTAAATATAAACCTTTGAATTACGTAATCGATTAGTTGCATCTGCCGATTACTTTGAGAAGTATGCAGAGATCTGTTTCTCCTAACCTACTGACCTAAATGCTGTCAGTTAGACGCCTTGCCTTCCTCCCAAGATGTAACAAGAAACTCTTTTCTCTCTCCTCTTCTCATGCAAATTCCAACAAGTCCAATCCATCAGACGTCGACCCGATTCCAACAAAACCAACGTGGTCCGTCCACGCACTCCTCGCGTCCTACCCACGTCCACGCCTCACTCACGCAGAGCTGATAAAACTACACAAGCTCTCTGCTCTTGTCCCGCCCGAAGAAGGATCCGAGAAAGCCGAGAGGCTGAGAGAAGAGTTGGAAGAGATGGTGAGGCTCGTGGAAGCTGTTAGGCTTGTCGATACCTCCTCTGGTTCCTCTGCTGGTCTTCGGCAAGTTCCTGAGGATCAGACTGGTGAACATGGTGATAGGAATGAGACTATGGGTGAGGGTGAGAGTACGAGTGTGATACCGGACGGAAGGATATGGGAAGCAGGGAAAGGAATGAAGTTGTCCTCAAATACTCGAGAAGTGGAGTTTGACGATCCGGAGGTTGAGCATGGGAAGGCTTTGTTACGACATGCGAAGGTGACGAGGGATGGCTTTTATGTCGTTGAGGCTGATAGAAGGAAGAAAAAGTGACGCATAAATATCGAATAAAGGAGATTTATTTTTATTGTAAGTTTATTATGCTCTTGCTTGTTTCTTATATGTTAATAACAGTAGTTAGGATTGAATGACAGTAACATTACTCGTTCTGAGACGTTAATATTCTCGTCGGCCTGCCTTGCAATAAACGTCACACGCGCTTGCGTCAGGGCTCACGACGAACAACGACTGGTTCTAAACGACTACTTACAGAGACTTATGAATGCCCCATCTATTGCTTTGGATATTTGACGAAGACAAAACGCCAACGTTCGCGGGCGGAAAGACGTAGTTACATTCAGACAAAATATACATGAGAATACAGTAGTTATAATTGCAAATGGGTACAGAGTCGTGGTGGTGTATTATGGAATGCATTATCCAAAATGATCAATGTGCGCAAAAGTCTTCCGAACATAATGCAGCCTCTATTCGACGGGCTTCATGAGGCACGTTTCTTCTGTGCCTCGGATGTCCTGAACTTTAAGACCTCTTTCCCGATACCATTCTTCATGTTACGATGCAGGGTGGGGAAATAGCCAAGTTCGAAGAGAAGTTCGAGGTGGACAAAGAAGGGCGCAAGTACAACGGCTGTCAATGCAAACAAAGTAAATAAGCACTCAAATTGCGACATGCGGCATGACATACCGCCAATGAGGTTGTCAAGCAGCGCAGGAGCCCGACGTTCATGCACACCATGTCCATAGAACTGCGCCAGCCAGCATACAACGTGCAATGCAAGTGCCTTTACTACGTTCGACTGGTCGTGCGCCACGGCAATCGCCGATAGAAGTGAAATTACAGACTGCGGGGCATATAATAACTACAAAGTAAACAGGGGTTTCGGACAGAATACCAGTCAGTTGAAAGTCTAAACGAAATAGGGGGTTATACGCACAGTGGCGGATGGCAACAGCGTGAAGTAGTACGCAAAGTACAGAAGGGCCTGTACAGTAGCCCAGTTGAACTTGAACGAAAGCACAGAGTTGAAGTCATGTTGGCATTCAGGGAAGAATGACGGTGTTGGGAGTGAAGCCAGCATGATTTGGAACGTCCTGTCCACGAACGCACTTTTCGGTCAGTAAACGGCACTTGCAACACCAAGAGAAATACAACAAGACGCACCAGATTAATATCGGCACACAAACCATATGTATCCGGACATTGACTTTATTCGAGTGGTACGCGCCATAAAAGACAAGCTAGAAGTGCCACCCAAACCAACAAGAGCATAAATTCGTGATTAGTTCATGTCTGTGATTCAAATCATATAATCGTAGAAGTGCTTCACCTGTTTCTCGACGTTGAAGAGGTCTGCCGGCATGTCTGAATGTTCCTGCACCTCTTGAAGGTTGAATGGTGATGGGGTGATGAACGTATGCAAAGACGAATTGAGTGATGACCTCAGTCAAATTCAGCGCGTCGGACGTTCACGGCTCGGGATGATGATCCCATGATAGCCGCCCCGAATTTCATATGATTCCGATCGATCATCATTATCCTTCCAGGACTGTATTAGCATAAACTAGCCATGTTCCACTCCAAAAGATACTAATGTTCGCTTCAGCTAGCCCAAGGAGATACGAATTCATACATACAAAGGTATCAATATTGCGAGTAGCATTCTCCTCCTATAATTTCATCTACATCTACCGAATTGCTTCTACTGTTGAAGTCATAAATGTCTCCCAGTTCCCCGTTAATATTCCGCATGCAGTGTCCATTATTTCACCCCTAGGCCTCTTAACGGAGAATTAAATGGACCATTCCGTTTAGCTATAGGCGCATCGATGATCACGGACATTACCTCATAGCCAGTGGTTCTTCGTAAGTAGATGAAACGGTGACTTCGGCGTTCCGATGCGGCTGTAAACAAGTCCTTCAAGGAGGTCGTTCGTATTCCCGCTCACTTCCATGCTGCGCCAGGTAATCCTTTTATGAAGGGGAAAGTCATATGAAGGGATAAAAGAAGGGACTAGCATTTGCCAAGCAGGTCCTTGCTGAACGCATCAAGCCATGCAGTCTCCCACCACTCCATCTCTGGTTTCCAAATCCCGCCCATAGCCTGATGCCGCTCTTCTTCAATGAAAGGTTTCAACATTGTATAATGCACAACGCGTATTTCGTCTTCGATCGCGTGCCATAATTCCGGACTGCGTTGCTTGATCATAAGGTTTGCGTTGTAGATGTATGGAAGGAGCACGACGCGTGCGGCAAAATACCAGTTCAAAAGCCCTTGTTCCGCTTCCCCATGGTGATAGTCCTCAGAATCAATCTTGGTCAACAAGTCGTTGAAGACTGCAGTTGAAGTACGTAGGAACATCACCCCAGCGTTGAAGCTCAGTGTGAAACCTCGTTTATCCCCATACACATCCGGAACGGCAGCAAATTCGAACGGCAAAGACCATAACTCGTCAAAATTACTCCGGACAAGAGTATCAGCGTCGAGGAAAACGACGCTTTTGATGCCGATTTGATCGAGTGCCCAAAGGTGGAGTTTTGAGTAGTTGTCAACAAAGCGATGAAACAGTCCACGCCCACTATCCGGTGGTGCGATGCGCTCAATCGGGTGTAACTCCCAACCTACTGCTTGTAATTGACAAATCGACCGGGACGACAGTCGTTCGGGGATGTAGAGTATGATGCGCCGAGCAGAGACCTGGGTAGTGCTCAAGGAGTGTCCTAGGTTTAGCACGGCTGGCACGTAAGACTCTGTGAAGACTGTTGTTACGACTGCACGTTCATCTGGGGTAGGTATATCGAATACGTTCACATCGTTATGGTATGGACCATGCGCCTCATCAGGGCCTCTTCTATTGCATGCATTAGCAATGTAGTTTGCCATTTGATATACAATAACAAACTCACGATGGATGATAGCGGTCGAGAAGACTATACGGTGGACGGTATAAAGCCTTCAAAACGAGGATGTTCACGAAGGCAAGTAAACTAAACCCGGCGAAGACGAAAGCCCAGAAGCACCTCCTGCTCTTACGAGTCGATCCAGCGGGCAGGTAGTCGTATCCGTAGTTGGACATCGTATAAATATTCTAGCTTTTATCCCTAGGCTGGATGGACTATGAGGAATCGTGGAAAGAGTCACCTCGGCCTTGCCTTCACCGTCTTTTGTACGAATTTCCGGGCTAAGGATGCCGAGCCACAGCGCGCAGTCATGAAGGTAGGGCTGGCATTAGCTATGCACCGGGCGGGCATGTATGTAATGTATAATGAAACATCGCATCTGTGATCAAGATACAAAGTAAACCAGCTTGTCGAGTTAATAACTTGGTAATATTATTGTTCCTACCCATGGTCCTCGCCCGCTTTGCGATTTGCTAAAAACGAGTGAACTTTTTTCCAAAAGGTAGAGCTGCAATGTTGCAAAGTAAATTCAAGAAAAAGGGACATTTGGATCTAGTGAAAAAGCCGTGTCTTCGGTGTACTTCCCGATATGTATTAGCTAGAAGCGCACATGGCTGACAGAGCACCGCGAAGGATAGCCGGCCGCCGAGTCGTGCACAGCGCAGCCTGCTGTCCTTAGCGTGTTTGTAAGACACACGTACCTAGTTTGCGAGACACGTCTTCAAATCCCATAGAGTATCAGTGCCCTTTCATTACAAGATTGTGCCTTGAAGCTTGATCGCAATGACACTGCGACACGTCAACCTTAGATCTTGGCTACTCGGCGCGCCACGGTTCATTAAGTGGATTTAAGAGGAGACAAGCATTTGTCCTCGAGTTCAAATTACCATCAGTAAGGTAGGAGCAAGTAAAAGGAGCTCGTGCATCAAGAATAAACCTTGACGTCCCAAAGGTCTGTAGCAAAGTGAATTCTTTAGGTATCATGCCAAAATAGGCAACTGCTTGATCTGTAACTTCTTTGAAATATGATATCAATTACATAATCACTCAGCACCCGACATTTGGGTCGCCAAGATCAATACTTTAATACTTACTCAGTTACTGCATTTACCTCTTGAAGACCTTCACAGGTCATTCGCGGCAAACTCTGTCTCTCGTTCATCGGTAAAGAGAATATGTCGCATGAAGATACCCGGATTTCCCCTAGTCCTCATAGCCATTTTGTGGCTCGCACCGGGCAATATTGTGCGCTAACGCGAGAAGCCAGATCTAAACACAGTTCTTCTAATTGCTCGCCTATTTGTAGCACATGAGTGGTCTTAAGGCGCGAATCTTCCTTCGAAATAGGATACTTCAATCAGACCAGGCGGTGATCTCTGCTGTCCAGTGTCCACTGTCCAGTACCCGTCTGCTATATCCGAATGCAGACGATAACCTTCCGTCTTTTCGCAACCGTCCTCTCCCAAGCGCACTTCTCCCGCGAGTTTCCCCCGATAGGGTTCGCAGCCTATAACGAGTCTAATTCATTGGGATAGGGTAACCTGCATGGTATATATGGCGCACAGCGCGCTGCGCGCTATGGGAGAGCAGCTCTTCCCCCACGCTCCTCTAGCCGCACCTGAGTACATCAAATCCGCTCGCAAAACCGCTACTCGATTCTCCGTGCTCTGATTCGTCTATACCGATGCCGCCGACGAGGTCTCTGCTCTCGGATTATTCGCATGATCATCCATTTGCGTTCAGTGATCAGGCGACCGTTATCAGCAAGAACACCGCTTGGTTCCAGGAATCTGTCTCTCCTCTTGATGATCTAGTCGAGCTCTCTGCCAGTCAGCAATCTAGCTACGATCACTTCCCGAACCCCAGTTCAATTCCTCCAACCACTCATACATATTCATTACCTACGACTGGGAATACTATTCCTCTTATGAATGTAACTTTGCATAGCTGGGCATCCTCGTCATCAGGTTCTCCCTCCTATACAGAAGCACAAAGCATCTCCGGAGAAGTACAGCTTAATTTAAGGACCCCTGATCGAGTCAAGTCTGTTTCAATATCAGTGTGTACTATTTTCGACTACGGCTGCCAAATGAATCACAACTCATTTCTACAGGTGGAAGGTTATTATTCCATTCCAGGTTACGATGCGAAGACATTCCTGCATGTATCTGAGACGCTATGGGATAGCTCGATGGGAGATCCTCGATCGAGCGGTATGTTCCTTTCGCAAGGCGCAGATCATCCGGGTAAACTGAACGGAAAATATGCTTGGTCATTCAAAATCGATTTTCCAAGGACATTGGAAATGACTACCAAACAAGAGAAACGCGCAAGCCATGGTGCTCGAAGTGGTGCGAGGCTGCCTCCGTCGCTGCGCGGCTCCCACGGTAAAGCTCGCATTGGGTACGAGGTTTGTGTGCGATTAAAACGTCCTGGTTGGCGATTTGGGAATAGGTGAATTTCCATATTTATCCTCTTGGCTGATTGAAAAGGTGCTAAAGTCTCTCGACCATTCCGACATAGTTTAACAGTTCCCATAACATATATGATTTCGACACGACCTGCTCCGGCATCTTTCCTGAGACGGCTAGCCTATCAAAACAAAACACCCGTGCCGTCACACGTTGACGATCCGCCCGGCTGGATGCTCTACCCTGGAGTCCAGGTGAATGGCGTGCTACAAAGAAGTCAGATTACTTTCTCATGCATGGTGAGCCCTAAAATTGCGTGCTACTGCATCCGAGATTAATTTAGGCCTTGTGGCTTCGGGTCTAGCTTGCTCTTGCTTCTCCGGTATGCAGCGTACTTTTCACGAGTCCACGCTATTTATATTGAGCATTTAATGGTGTGTTTAGCTGTCTTATACGCGTGGGTCATTTATACCATGCGCCTTGGTAATCGAAAGCAACGATCATAAAGTCCTGGAAGCGATGTCAAGTCCTTCAGCGGTGCGGGTCGTATTAAGACGAAGGCTCATTTTGTATTCCAAGCTCGGTGGCGAACTTGCTCTTGATGAGCAAGAGAACATAATTGCCAAGGCGTCTTGGATACCCGAGCATACTTCCGCGCGGGAGCAATCAATATTTAGCAGGATCTTACAAGGAGAAATTAGCATTCCGCCCAACGCGGCCCCTTCATTCGACTTCGGCAGGCTGGCAATGAAGGTAATGATCATCGTTCATTGGAGACACCTGACTCTTGCTCAAAGATCATCGAATTCACAGTACGATGTAATTATCTTTCCATTCGAGATACCTGGGTTTACTTCGATTGAAAATAGTCCTCTTACTCGAGCCGAAGTTGCCATTACGACCATGCCCGCTGAGGGACCTTTACCGCTGTCCCAGTGTACATCTGGGAGATGAAACCCGTCTTTGGAGTCCTGGTGGCCCTCTTGACGACGAAACGAATATTGTCTATACCTTGAAACAGACCTCTATGGACGACTGGAAGTTTAAAATTGGACTGATATCTCTATTCAAAGATCCTCATAGTTTGTTGTATGAGCGGTGCGGCCGCATTAGACATATTGTATAGTAACGCTGTAGTTATTTGTGGTATTTTTGTTGTAGTGTACCGTTCCAATCCCAGGATGCAAGAACGCTGTTTAGCATGGTTACGCTCTATTAACTTGCAACTCATGTAATTATCAATGTTTTGGAAGTCAACCTTTTTATGGATTCCGCTCCGCCCGAGGCTTGTAGCCATGGCGAGTATATTAGCATTCCCTTCCATTATGCTATTCTTATCCCTGGTTGTGGTTGGTGGAGTGGATGAACGTGCAACTGTGCGTGGAACGAGTGGGTTAATAAGATAAAAATAACGCGAGTGACTTAGAAACCTGTGCATAATCTCATTGAGTATACGCATCGAACGTGCCTTGATGCCTGCTTGATCATGCCTATAACTGGTACGACCGGATTCGATTACATTGTGTGCAATTATAGTTGATCTTCAGGCAATGCGAATTACAGAACCATTTGAGAAATGGTGGTAATTCCACTATCATCATTGTTGATCCGCTTACATTATTCGTTTTTACACTATCCCCTATTCTTAAAATAATTTAACACCCTAGAAATCAGGCGGTCTTCAGCTAAGGTTTGGTCAATGATTCCGATGTTCCAGGTTGATCGAATATTCGTAGTTGTGGACTTCTTGACTGATATCTTGCTTCAATCTTTGACGGCAGGGGAGGAGGAGGGGCATGCAAAGTTACAGAAGCACAGCATGAGGCCGACGATTGCCGCTAGAGAATATGGTAGGCAGTAGCACATAGTTATCAAATGATAGGAAAGATTGCAGGAACGCATTATAAGCATGGAAGTGCACCTTATGCGCCCTGGTAAATGGCATAGACGCCTGATAGCTAGGGACAGGAGACAGATAATCTTGATCGAGGAAGTCTTTCTTAGTCGTCATTGGGCGAATGGCGGCGCTCAGTTCTTCCCTGCAATCCTTCTTTTTTTGCCGGACGGAGCTTCTTCCCTCCACTGCCTTCGTTCGAATGCTGAAATCCTTAAGAACTCGGTACCGAGATCCGTGATTGAAGGCAATTCGGAAATTCTTTATTTGTTTAAGGGGGAATGATGACTTCCCGTGGATGATCGATTACTGTAATTTCAAATGACCCTATTAAAAAGACCAGCACAATCCGGAGGGGAATTCCCAAGCAATGTACTATGGACGGTGGCCTTTCTATTCTTCGTACCACTTCAAGCCGAGAGTTTGTGCGATGAAGCCAAGTTTATCCGCGGCCTCTTTGATCCTGATTATCCGGGCCGGGGGAAAGAAGAAAAGAAGTCAGAATTGACTACTTAACGTTTGAGTATGACGTACCTCTGTTCTGTGCTTTTACCGGCTCCGTGCCCAGCTTTCTTCTCGATTCGGATGAGAAGGGGATTCGGGTTTTTCGGTAGGGTGTACTGTAGTGCCGCTGCATGCTTAAACGAGTGAAGAGGTACAACACGGTCATCATCTAAATGCATAATATCAGTACAATTGGTATTAAAATCACGATAAATTGCACGTACGATCAGCTGTTAATAGGATCGTCGGAGGTAAGGTTGTATTCTTTGGAACGTTGTGCAGCGGCGAGTAAGGATAGATGAAATCGAAGTCGTGGGGATCGTCAGGATTACCATAGTCGGAGGTCCAAGCTCGGCCAATTGTGAACTTGTTGAACTGCACAGAAATTGATCTTGTTAGCCTAGGATGAGGGTAATGACTAGACATAAGGCTTGCCTTCAGCATGTCCAACACCCCTACTTCTGCTACAGCGGCGCCGAATGTCCCTTCCGCCGCTATGTTCACACAGGCGGCGACCAGCAAACCTAGTCTACGTCAGGTACTTACACGTGATAAATGAAAGAACCGAAGCGCACCGCCATTGGAACCTCCATTGATGGAGATTTTATCTGGAGCGGCGATTTGGGTGTTCTTCAGGTATTGACTAACAGAAGCACAGTTAAACTTAGAACTCAATCAAGAATGACGCACGCACGTTGCGGATATGAAGTCGTTGAAAACGTTCATCTAAAGACTTGGTAAAATGTTAAGTTCTTTGACATGCAGGCCGTTTCATACCTTGCGCTCTTTAGTTCCCGCTAGATGCCATTCTTCCCCAAATTCGCCTCCTCCTCGGATATTAGGCACGGCCAGAACGGCATGGAAGCGCTGCAAGAACGTCAAGAAAACGACGCTGAAGAAGGGGTTGATAGAGATCGTAAAGCCTCCGTAGCCTGCGGGCCTTTGTGAAGGCACCCTGTTACAGAACAGCGATATGGAAGCTTACCATATTGAATGGCTGGGGCAGTGCCATCTTTCGGCGTTGATTTATGCCTTACAATGAACATCGGAATTCGTGTTCCATCTGTGCTGTTATACCACACTTGTTCGGCGGAGAAATCATCAGGATTTAGGCCCTCAAGTTTCGTGGTCCTGTAAACACTCCAACGGACCTCCTCTTTCGGCTCTTTGAAGTCGTAGCGAGCGAGCGTGCACGGAGTAGTGAAGCCACTAAGAGTAGCGAAGAACCAGCTTTGGTCTCGTCGTGATGATATTTCGATCTTTCCAACGAAGTCCGCCGCAAGTCGCTTCAGCCGCTTGCCGCTTAGATCGTGGAGGTATAGCTCGTCCTTAACCTACGGTGTATGACATACACTCATGTAAACTAGCTGACGTGAACCGAGATTAATATTGGGCTCACATTCCGCTTGTAGACCAAAACAAAGGCGTCTTCGTTCACTAGATTGGCGCTTTCAAGCTTGGCCTCCTTGTCCTCGGGAACGAGTTCGTTGCGAGTAAGGTTCGCGTCGGATATGTCAATCGTAATGACCTTGTACCTTGGAGCGTCTTTGTTGCTCATAAAGTAGAACTTCGAGTCATCATTACCAATTCTACGAAGAGGGAAAATGAGATTTGTGCGTGACACATGTAGAAAATGACACTGACACATTGTATGAGGCGTCAAACTCATCGATCACTTTGGTCCATTTCATGTTCTGACCGATCTCATTTTTCGTCAGGTCGGTTATCCAAAGGAGATGTTTCTGATGGCATTTTGTCAGCTCAACACTTCTCGCAAACGATTTAGACCGACCCTTGACGTATCCTTCGAGATATACACGGCGAGATACTTTCCGTCGAGAGTGACCTGCGGCCCCCACATCCAGTGAGGATGCTCCGCATCTTTCAGGACGAGGATATCCTCGGCTATCAATCTTGGTTAACGAATGAATCTACACGAGGTTAATATGCTTAAAATGTTCACATTGTGCGGTACCAACACTGTGGTACATGAGCATAGCATTTTCATCTTTGTCTGTCTCTGTTCCAGCTTTGTCTTCTCCCGCCTCTCCATGAGACGAACGCGCAGGCATGCGCTGGTCAAAGGCAGAATTCGGGCTTCATTTCCTTAAGCAGACAGCAAATTAGCATACCTGATAAAAGAAGCCCTTGGAGTCTTTTGTCCATACAATGGACGAGAACTTGACAAAGCGAAGCTCGTCAGAGAAACGACCCGGGTCTGAGGAAAGTTCCCGCTGCGTCTTGTCCACGAAAGGCGCGGTTGTACGCCGGATGTATATCGTGCAGAAATCACTTCCCTACCGAGAGCCGCTGTAAAACCGTGCGTCCGTAAAAGTGACGGATAATATAAAACACACCGACAGAGAAATCCCGTAGGCGAAATATTGACCACACTCGGAGAATGCCGTCGTGGCCAATGCCCCAGTACCATCATCCGTAATTAAGTTTTGCTATACTTCATGTGAGCATGAAATAATTATGCAGTTGCCAAGGATAAGACTTACGTCAAAGTAAATATCTGCCCCTTGTTCGGGGCCTGATTGGCTGGATACCAGTGGGAGAGTGGCGTCCTTGGATCGATAATAGACTTAATCACAGATGTAGCAGAATAGCAATACAAGCATATTTTTGCACATGAGCATATGGTTGAGTCGATGAGAAGTAAGAGCCTAAAGGAGCGGTACGGACCGAATTGAGCTTGCAGGCCGCTATTGTATGACCAGTACCAGTGACCGTCTTTCTTGAGGACTGGTCGTGAGAACTGCGAAAGCCAGGGTGAGGTTATAGAGAAAAAAATCCCCCGGTCAGACATGATCATGAAGAAGATGTGGCTAGAGGCACCGCAACAAACCTTCTCATAGTCAAAGTTCTCCCGCAGCTGATGTTCTAGGTCGTTGCGGTGAGGATTCTGGTCCAGAAACTTCCGAGTAAATTCTGCCTGGGCTGTGGTCCAGGCATCCGTCTCTGCACCATGTTTTTCCAGCCAGTTGTAAGGGTCCGTGACCTTCACTTCACCGTGTTTCTCGCTTTTATAAATCTGGGGTAAGAGGGTTCGGGTTATTGTTCATTTAAAAGAAAGTATAAAAGCAAGCTTCACGTCGACATGGTCTGAACGACGCGTATGAGGGTACTCTTGGGGATCCCACAGTGTCTTGTAGGAATTCATGCTGGCACTGCAGGGTTTCAGGAGGAGGGTTGAGTAAGGCCGGGAAGAAGAGAGACGCGAAAAGAGAAACGCGCGTAGGAGCATAAATAGGAGTCAGGACTGCGTGCTTACTCCGATGTGATGAATGCGAGATATGTAAGAAAGACGCGCGATCGAGTCGAGAACGTCTAAATCCTGTACGTGTATGAGGGCGCGAATCACCCGCATTAGCACGACTGTAGCACAGTCGACCGAGACCGCCGTCTATTCGGTCAAGGTTTTACCCCCGACAATGGACTTGCAATGTGTGGAATAATGGACGCCTCAGCTGATTTCAGTGCCTAATTGCTTATTCTGGCAGAAAGTACTCGAGGACAAGCCCTGTATGATTTATCCGTAACTTCTATCTGATTTGGAGGGAGAGGAGCACACGACATGATGTATTATTACATTATAGACCAGAACAGGTGTCCAGACGACTCACTAAAGGACGACATACCAGGAAATGAAGGTCCTGTTTCAGTCATTGATTTCGGCCAATATTCAGTTCCGGAACAACAATGAATTGGATGCGGAATAGCACGGTAGACGGCAAGACAGGCCGCCCCACGCGGGAAAGCCGGGGACGACGAAAAGATAATTATGAGGCATATCCGGATCGGGCGTCTAATTACCATGATCACATGAGAATCAGAAGCACGTGATGTACTCAAAATCTCTGCTGATTGACGCTGTGTGCGGTTCCTCGGCTCGGTCTCGAGCTGACAGGAATGTCAGAGGCACAGTTCAAACCTGCGCCTAGTTTCTTCCCGACTGCGGCTATTGTGTGTATTACCATCCAGGGAATCTTATTTATCTTTCTGAACATTTTGTAGGATCATGCGGTAGCAGGAATAGGAGCGGGGACCGCAGCTGTCCTCTGCATGCATCCGCTCGATCTACTGAAAGTCAAATTCCAAACATCTACGTCGAAACCGCAAGGCGGAATAGGGAAGGCGATATACATCTCTTTACGAGACATTTATGCTTCTGAGGGGATCCGTGGACTCTATAGAGGCGTCGGAGCAAACATTGCGGGAAATGCGAGCAGTTGGGGTCTCTATTTCTTATTGTGAGTCATATGAATCGAGAAATACTTACGACGTGCTGACATTCTACTTTAAGCTATAATATGCTAAAGAAACGGATGTCACCAACTGGTGACCCAAGCTATAAATTCTCCTCTGCAACTACTTTACTGTACGCTGCTGAAGCAAGTTCGCACTTCTTCTCACTGTCAGGAAGTATATTGCCTTACCCTACTTTAAAGGTGCTGTGACAGCAATAATGACGAATCCTATTTGGGTGGTCAAAGTTCGAATGTTTACTACTCGAATAGATAATCCTGTCGCATATCGAAGCCTATGGCGTAAGTAGTAAACTGATTGATGTCATAATTATCCCTGAACTCTATTTTCTAATTTTTTTCAGACGGGCTGTCATCTATATACCGGAACGAGGGTATTAAAGGTCTTTACAAGGGCACGAGCCTTGCCCTCGTCGGAGTTAGCAATGGGGCAATTCAGTTCATGGGATACGAGCAATTGAAATGGCTCTGCACTGAGCAAAAACGGCGGCGATACGCGACGGCAGAGAGGGAATGGACCCTGGAAGCAGAGAAACTGGTATAGTCCTGCCCAACCCGGCTTCCCAGTGACTTTACTGATTTATTGTCTTCTCGGCACACAGTCGAATACAACATACACCGTGATTTCCGGAGCATCGAAGCTCATGGCCTTAGCTGCAACATACCCTTACCAGGTCGTTCGTTCACGTATCCAAAACAACGCGACAACGCACTTGTACCCCAACATCCCTGCTTGTATAGCAAGAACTTGGCGGGAAGAACGCGTCACCGGCTTCTATAGGGGTCTCGGGACGAACCTTGTCCGTGTGCTGCCAGGGACTTGCGTGACTTTCGTCGTGTATGAAAATTTAGCATGGCTGCTAAAGTCTAGCGCAAGGAAAAGGGAGGATGCGAAGCTGCATTCATAGACGCGTCGGTAGTATTTCGTTTCTTTCGAAGTAACGATAGATTTTTTCCATCATTCGCATGTCATGTATTTCTATGCATCACGATTGACATACAATCCCAGTAACACCTTTTCTTCGGCAATCATACATCATTTTAATTGTAATAAAAATAGTGTAGACATTCCGAAGACAGAACTACCTTCGACGGACCAACCAGAACCTGGAAAAGGAATTTCATATTAGCAAGATGCTAAAACACTGCATAAAATAGAGGAAATGCAACAGGGTAGGTCAGAGTAACTATTGACGAAAGACTGGCATGGCGGGGAACGTCCACCCACATCCTTTGCAAACCTCTTCAAAACGAATCGGTTTGCTGAATATGAGAAAGACTGGAGATTTGAATCTCCCCCCACTTCGAATGATGTGTTGCAATCATTCCAAAGTATACATGATTAGAAAGATACTTACTTTGGCTAGTGTAGCGTGTAGTTGGATGTCAATGTGAAAGAAAAAAATAGAAATTGGTTCACGCTACGACGAATCAGTGGAATCCGAAGTTGGCATTACGTTCTCACGATCAGCACCTCCGAGAATGTACGAACCCAATTGTGCTGAACATCATAGTAACATAAAACGTTCACCTTGAGCAAGCCAAACAACGCAGGGGCTGGCTGCTTGGCTGGGTGAGTCCTGTAAGAATCATACTACTGAAATAAATTGATATTTCTTGTAGTGATATGCCGGACACATGCAATGCATTCGGACATCGACGACGAATGTCCTCCATAGACAACTATGGCACGCAAGTCCAGTAGCAGCTAACTTTGTGCAGTCAAACCTGCACAGAAACTTCTCGTGGTCTCGCATTATAGGAACTCAGGTCACGAAACGAAAGGTCTTATCTGCGGCGGATGCATTAATGTCAACGGCATTGAGAGGCACCTCGACGCCTCCCTCTTCCTTCCAAATTACTACCGCTGGTAAAGGCCAGGACGCTAATGAACATAAAGACGAACAAAATGGCACGTACACAGCAGCGCAATTGTCCCGAATTGCTGCTCAGTCTGTCCGTCTTGCATGCCATGGAGAAAGCTCGAAAGATGCATTCCTCATTGTCAAATCGCTTGAGGCGTCCATGAAGCATTACTCCAATCCATTGAACCACGGAAGACCTATGCCGCAGAGAGTGGCTATTGACTTTGGGATGGCGGTTTCTCCGCGGCTCGCAATGCACAGTTTGCTGCATGGTTTAGTGCGACGAGGTATGACGAAGAAAGCAGGGGACATCGCCTACCAGATTGCCGGGTTTAATCCTCGGATCCAGTTGCGAGATCGCACGTTGCACGTCATCACGTCTGCTCTCTGCCAGACGGATACACATGCATTGCAAGACGAAAATTTCCGTGCAAAGGCTCAACAAGAGAAAGCAGAATATGCGATTCCAGAGCAACCTCTAGTCGCGCATGCAAAAAGTGGAAAGAAGGTGCAACTCCCTTGTACACGCACGGCCTTACATTTATTTTTCGCGGCAAAGCAATATCGCAAAGAACGTGCAAGCCAGACCTTCCAGCAGCTTATCGACGCGTGCCTCCTGCAAGGTGAAATCCTTGTCGTGAGCTTTTTATTGGCGTTGTTAGCAAAGAAATTGGAAGCTTGGTTCGCTAGAAACAGCGCCCGGGCCGAAGCTGAAGCATCATCGTCGACATGTGGAGATACAGCGAATCCAATGTCTCCGGTGCTTCTCCCTAGTGAGGCATTGTTGTCCCAGACGATTGCGATAATCGATTCGGTTCTATACAACAAAACACCTCCTGACCCTCAGGCCATCCGGCCGTCCCATGAAGAGGCCGTGCAGACATTGGCTATCCTTGCGGGAATGCTCGATGATGGCGTGCTACCTCCCAGTAAGAGTTCTGCGATTATCACCGTTCTCGTTTCGTTCCCATTATCGGCTTCCACGGTGGTATGGATACTCCGTAAAGGCAAGAAGGAGAAATGGGAGCGAAGAGATGCATATGCATATTTCAATGAGGTGCTAGGTCATCTCGTGGCCAAGGTCATACATGAGGACTACGAGGTATCGAGCAACGGGAAGCATCTAGCTGATATCATGGCGTTCAATAGCTTATTACAATACGCCCTGCAGAGGAAGAAGTCTGTCGCACTTGCAGACCGGATACTGAAACGTATGGAACTGTTAGGTGGCAAGGTGGTCCCAGATATAACTACCTTTAATATTGTGTTAAGAGCAGGCACGCTCTTGAGACGACGCGACTTGAGCGAGGCAGTTCTGGAGATGCTACGCAACGACGCAGTAAACAAAGACAACGTCATCCAAATTACACCCCCCAAAACACACGGCCAGGAAACCCGAGGATTTTACTCAGCCTCTGTGACTCATGATCAGAGCATGGGTTCCCAGCTCCCCGAGAGGGGCCAAAGCCCAGTGGTTCCTAGGGTATCCAGAGAGAGTGATGCAGCGTTGACAGCTCAGTTTTACCAAGAATACATTGTCCCACAGCTGCCTTTGCGGTTTCAACATATTTTCAACGAGGATTTTGATGCTAGTCATCTCTCGTCCTCAGAGTGCGTTCACGTCGACAGGAATACTCTTGTGGCTTATATTAATTTCTTGACGGCTACTGATCGACCTGGATGGGCGGTCAACATACTGCGAGCTCTAATACCAGAACTCGTCCCTCTTGGATATCCACTCAGTAGTAAGGAGTTCCATAGCCTCGGTCACCAGAGGCTCCAATCACTTCGGAATGCCGCATTACTACGAGCTATCCACCTTGGACCACAGTTTTTCACTGCTATTTTGAACGCGCTTGTGAAAGACGGAAGGACTGGTCTTGCTCAACGCATCTGGCGGCTCGCGAAGGCTGCTGAGAGACGCAGCTGGGATCCGAAGTTCGAAACAGCGCCTTGGATCTTACCTTGTGCCGCATACACTGTGATGATGCAGTGTTATGCTGCGGAGGCCCGCTTGAGAAAGCATCGACGTCTCCCTCCTCCGCCTGGAGCTATTCGAAGGGCAAAACGCCTTCGGCAGTTGGTACGTGGGGAATACTCGCCAGCCACGCGGCATCTAGCTTCGAATTTGAGTGTCGACCCTTACAATACTTTCTACGATATGGGTATGCTCCTGCTACGCTCAATGCAAACCAGCGAGAGGTATTTCCGCGCTAAGGTCGGAAGTCGTCTTGAACAAGGCGGCACTGTCCTGGACCCGAAAACAATCGAGCTACCTGTTCCCGATGAAAGATTCTTCAATGCCACTCTCTACCTGTTCGGGCGCCTTGCGACATATGCTCCAAGGAAAAAGGAGGCGAGTCCGAAACATTGGAGACGCTTGTACCGTCGACAACTCCAGCTGTATATCGAAACGAGCCGTGTCGGATTTCCTCGGGATGATCGATTGATGACTATTCTAATTGCAATACGAGAAGCTGGCTTCGAGGTTCCGATTGCGTATAAACACATGCTTGTTGACATTCCCGCTCCTCTACCGTCCGTGGACGATTGTCAGGTTGAACAAGGTGCCTACGCAAGACGTTGGCGTATATTTGCTTCAACACCCTTTAGTCTGCCAACCTATAAAGGTCGTGGCCTCCCTATTTCAAAGAACTGGAAAAGAGGAAGGCATCGGGCTCCTTAACCGATTTATCACTGAATAGCATCTCTATAGCTAATTATTTACAATGTATATTAATGACATGCATCCGCTCCGCAATACATCACTTTTCGTCCGCAAGTTTCGATTTGTCTAAACGAAGATAGACGACGCCGATACTTTTGGTTAATGTCCTTTCTTGCCTTTCGAGAGCAACATCTTGTAAGACGTCCACAACTTTCTGCATCTTCTCTTGCATTGCTTGTACAGACGGTGTAGTCTGTTTTGCCTTTGGAGCAAACGCAATATCGACCAAGTTGTTGTTCTTAAGCTGTTCTCGTGCTGAAAAGCCGCAGGTTAGTATAAATAATCTTCTTCGTTTGGAAACGTGTCACAAAACCTTTCATTGTTTTATGTTGTAGATCCATATCCCCAACATTCCAAGTCATCTGAATCTCCTTCCTCTCCATCTTCAATGATTTTTGTTTCGCTTTCCTAGCTAACTTCTCTGCGTGTTCGACCTTCCTGTCGAAAATCTTTACAATGGGAGGATCCTCCGAGACGAGCTCGACAAAGTGAGTTCTGAGCTCTATGCTTTCGATAATGCTTTTTAATGGTTCGGGAGGACTGAGTTTGTTGTCGTTTGCTTCGTCGACGCGTTGGACGATTGGGTATTTGATCTGGTGGTTTCGAGGTTTTGCCTCGTATTTGAGGAGGGAGGGGGTTGAGGAGAAGGCTCGTCGGGATGTGTATGTTGACGTGGACGCGATAGGTGGTAATTTTAAGCTTGTGTATCTAGGTAACGCTTCGCAAATAAGTCGAGTACATCGCTGAGTGAACATGGTATGCTATCTGTATATTTTGTCGATAAATCTATGTCTAGTTCTGTCAGCAATGGGGAAATAGCTTACCTTTCCTCAGCAGACGAACAAACGGAAATGAATTGTGGAATTTTGACGCGCCTTGACAGGCGCAGATCAAACTGAAACTCGTGACGCAACGTTCAATTTGGTGCGGTGAGCTTTTTGGCATTGACCACCACATACAAAAATAAGGTTTCTCTCTTTTTAACAGCAGTAAGAATACACAACCTCCAATGAGCTGGAACAGACATGGTGGTGGTGGACGGAGGAGGAACAACAGAGGTGAGAATCTAAGATAGACTAAGTCTTGAAGAACCTTGGCATGAACTTGTTTTCATCTCTGGCGTGACGTGCTTTAGATGAATACGATGACCGCCTGGGACGTGAGGTGTATGAAACACCTGAGCAGCATCTGAGGACTACGATCATTCATTATGGCAATGTGGTGAGTTTCACGGCTGAGAGGTGTAACATTTTTTTCTGAGTCTGAGTACGCGACGCCTTGCTGTGGACAGGATGCCGACCAGGAGCTTGCAAGGGTGGCAAAGGAAATTCGTGAAGAGAATGCTAGGTCTTCCAACGTCCCTGCTATAGCAGAAGGTTTTCGAATAGGGTATGTGTATCCGTTATTTTCATAAGTTGTCCGCACTCATGAAAATAAATAACGCCAGAGTGACAGAAGAACCGTACAAAATTCCTCACTATGCAGCCCTCCTGCGCGCTTTAGATGAAGGCGCAGAAGGTACAACCGATACTATGCTGGGAAAACAGGTTCTGGATGATTTCTGGAAGGGATTCCAAGGATTCTTGGATAAATTGGCGTGGAGGCAAATCAGGCTTTGTGTGAGTGTAGTTCAACCATAAATAATTTCATGAAATTAATTCAATGTTTCTATCAGGTCCACTTCTTCGCGCATTTGACGAGTGCACAAGTCATTTCTGTATCTTCCTTGCTTTCATTGTTGCAATCGTTTACGGCTGCCTTGGAGGAGTTTGGTGTTTCTCATAGCCGAGCTAAGAATGCCGCTCTTTGTGCGGCGGAGGGCCTTATGAGGGTGAATATTCCAATACTTGATGTACCATATATAGTACTGATACATTTTTTAACAGGCAGGACCGGAGTTGAAAAGCCAATCTCCTTCAGAAGTCACAGAGATCATTTCTGCCATTCAGACGTACGCCGAGACGTCTTCTGGAAGTAAACTTCTGGCCAGTCCGTTAGTAAAGCTACACACCGAGTCCGATGCATTCGAAGGAACATCAGAGGTATGTATCGCGGCACTCCTAGAGAGTCACTAACAAACCCTATCCCAGCTTCTGGATAATGCAATCGCCGTGCTCAAGTCACTTGATGAGAACGACTTTTCCGACTGCGATTCGAGCTTTTTGAAACCGTATTCAGTCAAGTCAGATGATCCTGCTCCGTACTTTGACCTGCCTTCAGTGCTTGTGCCTCCCGAAGCCATTGAGCTTGAAAGTCTCACCGGTGTTGCAGAAGATAGTGCAGCTGTGGTTAAAAATGAGGAATGGCCCGAATACCGTATACGCACTTTTGCCAACGATGTATGTTTATTTAGACTTGTATTATCTTATCACTGACTTTTTTCTTCTTTTATAGATGACTGCTGATCCCACGACGGTGCTCGGCTATGCCGTCAATGTCCTCATCTCCGATGTTATTGACATCTTCGAAGTAAATAGGAAGGAATGTGCTAGGTTCCTCTTTGAGCTTCCTAAATGGTTGCCGTCCGGTACTTTCAAGCCAAGGCCAGGCGTGCCAAGTGAGAACGGTGCTGCAAGTGGACCATTATGGCAGCTTGAAAGCTGTATCATGGAAGTATGTTTTAGAATTGCGTCTCTTCGGTATCAAACTCTGATTAAACTCCATCATTAGAGTATCCTCGCAAAGATGCTTGTCCTCCCAAGACCGTTACACAGGCCGATGTACTACATAGCATTGATTACTGAGCTCTGCAAGCTGCAGCCATCGACAACCGGGCCCGCGGTGGGCAAGTCAATACGAAAGCTCTATGGTTATCTCGTCGATGGTCTGGACGTAGCAGCTGCTCATAGGTTCACAGAATGGTTTGCGACACACATGAGTAATTTCGGTTTCCAATGGGTATGGAAAGAATGGTATGTTTGGCGTTGATGATCTATGTGTCACATTTACTTATTGCCATTTGTAGGGTTCCGGATCTGTCATTGCCAAGCCACCATCCAAAACGCAACTTCATCCGCCGAGCGATCGAAATCGAGATACGACTTGCATATTTTGATCGGATACAGAAGACGCTTCCGGAGGCTTATCAAGCTCCAGGAACTGATGCTCTGCCTGATGAAGCCCCAGGACCTGAGTTTACATATGATGATCCTCGTAAGTGGATCTGCAGATCACTTTTAATTCCACCTGTTCCTAAACTGTTTTTAGGAAACCCATACCATGAACCTGCTGAGCAGCTGCTTAACCTCTTACGTGGTCGTGCAAAGGCCGAGGACGTTAATACGCACCTCGATACGCTGAAAAGCACCGTTGCGGATTTGTCCGAAGGTGACGTCCGTGTTGACGCTGTTGTGCGCTCGATCACAGTCCAAGCTTTGTTACACATCGGGTCTCGTTCGTTCTCCCACTTCCTTAACGCCATTGAGCGCTACCTGCTCCTTTTACGTACACTTTCGAGTGGAGCGGAGGCGAAGCAAGACATCCTCAATGCCGTGGCACAGTTTTGGCAACGTAACCGCCAAATGGTACGCATTGTCTTTGACAAGCTCATGCAGTATCAAATTGTCGATCCGTCGGATGTCATTGCTTGGGCTTTCTCGCCGCATCCTCAGGACGAGGACACGAATGTAGAGCGAATTGATACGTTCCGATGGGAGATTATTGAGAATGCGTTGGATAAAGCGAATGGACGTGTGATGATTGCTAGAAAGAAGGTAACTACGTTAAGGAAAGAGGAGGATGATAGTCGGGCGCGTGAAAAGGCGGAGGGGAACATGGAAGTGGATGCTGAAGGCAAGTAGCTCAATTCATCCTTATGAAAATTATGCTTAGGTTCGACATACACAGCTTTGGAAGAGAAACCTGCGGAGGACTCACCAGCGCTTAGAACTGCGCTCAAAGCGTATTCAACCTTATCGAGCGAGCAGCGTGCAGTACTGTCAAAAACACTTAACGAATTCGTTAACGCTTTGTCGGATACAAGTGCCGTCCTCACCGAGTCCTCCTGGGACAATCGATCGAATTGGACGAACACGGAGTGGAATATTTGGGAAACGTGGGGATGGTACCGCAACTTCTGTCGACTGGTGAGTCTTCATGATTCATTGTTCCACTGGCAAATATCGGATTGACACGTTATCCGAATGTAGTTTGCCCCGTATCTTCGTGCTTATTCGACTGCGCTGGGGACGGTCGCGTTCGCCAAGGTGGAAAGCTCAGAAGACGATGCAGCTAAGCTCCTCAAGCGTGTATGGAATGTTTCTACAGGCCAGGAGGCCTAAACTAGCGTATTTCATTTTGTGCCTGTTTTTATTCTTCATCATGTCCTATCAAGCTAATGCAATGTCGGTTTGGGAAACTTCAACTCTACCAGGACTCGAATTGAATATAAAAAGGCAAAATATTTCCGCTAAATCTGGCAAGTAGCTCGAGGGCCGGTCAGAACGCGACGGGCTTCTTGTCCCGAAGTCTATTTGTTTTTATTTGTCTATCCTCATGCCTCGTTTTTCTTGAATCTTTGATCGATGGCTGAATCAATCACCTGGCGCTCCACGAAACCTGCACTAGTGCTGTGACCTTATGATGGAAATTTTAACATAGCTCAGGACTTCCCCACTCGGATTATTCTCTCCAAGTTGGACTCTGAACACTGGAAGTAAAATGGCAAACTGCAGGCTCATTTTCGAGAACAATAGAGACGGACTTTAATTTTAGCCTCGGACCAAAGTATTCGACCACTTTCTCGGAAACCATTGCTAACGCGCTCGGGGCCGGAGCTGCAGGATGCTTTGCTATTGTGTCTCGTGGTTTGAGATATCGATCTGGCAAATGAGGCATAACGGCCACTATCCCTGCGAGGGAATAAAAAGGGATCTGATGAAAAGGAGTAGGTAGCCTTTCCGTTCCCTGCTCCACCTCAGTCTTTCTTCCGCTCATTCTACTTGACTTACGGCTCCTAAGCTCTTGACGAGCAAGCCTCTTTCACTCTCATTGTCTTATTGACTTTTATAAGATTCTAACAACACTCGCTTAACATTCGACACTCATTACGATGCGTGCTACGAGTCTTTTTGGTTTTACGCTTCTCTATGTGCTACCGTTCGCTGCTGCGCATGGATATGTTCGGTCACTCACTATTGATGGCAAGAAGTTCAAGGGTAACGTCCCGAATGGCGCGACGAATCCTAGTGTGATCCGACAGGTTAATAGCGTCGAGCCGGTGAAGGGCGCGACAAACAAGGCACTTAATTGTGGTCCAAGCGCGAAGAAGGCTTCGTTACTCGCGGATGCCAATCCTGGAAGCACACTTGAGTTTGACTGGGCCGGCGGTGACGGTAGCAACGTACGTTATTTTCTTATTCATTTTGGTGATATAGTCGTGATTTGTGCTAAATTTTCCGCTCTTTGTTGTGCAGTGGCCACATAACATTGGGCCTATGATGACTTACCTTGCCTCGTGCGGTGATACGACATGTGACAAGTTCGATGGTAGTGATGCGAAGTGGTTCAAGATCGATGAGGTTGGATTGAAGGGAGATAGTGGTAGTACTTGGTTCCAGCAAGACCTCAGTAAGCTTTCACGTTCATTCCCTTAGTATTTATTCACTGATAGTTAATTCTGTTTTCTTCCAGTGAATGGCAAGACAGCCAAGGTTAAGCTCCCCAACAACCTTGCTTCCGGCCAGTACCTCGTCCGGCATGAGATCATCGGATTACACATCGCCGAAAAGGAAGGAGGCGCTGAGTTCTATCCCTCTTGTGCACAGCTCAACGTCGGCGGGAACGGTTCGGGTAAACCAAGCTCGAGCGAACTCGTCTCCCTGCCTGGTGCATATAAGGATACTGACCCGGGTATTTTGTTCAATGCTTTCGACGGGAATAAGAAGTATACTTTCCCTGTACCGAAGGTTGCGGCTCTCGTTGGCGGTGATAGCAATACTGATTCCGGGTCTGGGTCGGACAATTCAGATGACAACTCGACTCGAGCAAATAACGTGGCTACGAACACTGCTAGCGGTGACGACGGCGCCTTGCCTACTGCTTCCACCGAGGACAGCTCTCCATCCTCCTCCAGCTCGGGGAAGAACGGCGGCGGCAGTGGTAAGGGCAATGGTAAAGGATGCGGAGACGACTCCGACGATTCTGGCTATGGCTCTGAACCTAAGTCCAAGTCTTCTACTGAATCGCAGACCGTCTCCGCATCTGTCACTGCAACGCCCGCTCCGACTCCAACTTTGTCATCCAACGTAGACGGACAGAGCGGACAAAACGGATCCGTCCTCACGTCGTTCGCTACCACCTCAACCATCGTCCTCGACTCCATCCCCACCGACGCTGTTTCCGAGTCTCCGAAGCTCCGCCCTCGCCGCGTTAGCCGCGTGATGCGACATCTCCTCGCTCGATCTTACCACTAAGCTTCTGACGCACAAGGCGCAAATCGATACGAAATGACAGTCTAATCGCATTTTACACGTCCGGACGTGCTTTTCTTTGCTTTACTCTATCTTATCTTACCTTACTTTCCACTTTATTTCACCACATGGTGATTCAGTGAAACACCCAGGCTTATACGAGTCCATCCCGAGATCTGGTTATCCTCACCTATTTTTCAGTCTAAGGCATAGATATGCCTTTGTTGTATTGATACTTGATGTGTCACTGTTCTACTTATGTATCAATAGGTATAAAATTGAATGGAATGTGTTTTCTACTCTACATGACCAAGAGGAAAAAGTTGCCACCGGAGAACCCGAACGAATTCGCATCTAAATCTCTTACGATAGTGCAATACAGTGGGGATAAAATAAAACGACAGAAAGTCTGTGGCTTCGTGAATCGTGAATAAGCTCAACCTGCTATAGTCACCTCGAAACAATCGGCGTTCAATAACCAGACATCCGAGAACATAAAGTTCCACAGAACGCTAGAATCCGCAGAACTCCAAGTCAAAAGAAGTTACTCCCTCTTCTTCTTCGGCGCAGATTGACTCGCCAACGTATACCCAATCGTCCCGACAAGGACAGCAGCCGCTCCAGACCAAAGGTACACATTCCCGCGAGAGCCACCGAGGAGCAGCACGCTAACCGCAAGTGAAGTAGCCTTTCGCACGACGAGTACGAGAGATACTGTTAAGCTGTTCATGTGAGAGGTGAGCCGATTTACGCCGGCGACGCAGAAGAGCTGCGTGAGGACGTTTAGGAAAAGCGGCACGTAGAATGCCGGTATGCGTAGCGACGGAGGACGGATCGGGAGGTAAGGAAGGGGTGATAGGTGGTGAGCATCTGAGTCACTTGCAGAAGAGAATGGGAGTGCAAGTTGCCGCCCGGCATTGGCTGTGCGGACCTGTGAGACGAGATCGCGCCATGTGAAGCCGAAGAGGGGCAAGGCGAGGGCGTGAAGGTAGAACATTGCCTCTTCCCAGTGACCGCGGCCGTACCGCTCAAATGTACGGTCTTGTGAAAGCCCAAGCGCGCCTGATAATACGAGCGCTAAAGTAAGAATAGCGATCCCAATTGCATACTGCCTATACGAGGTTGATTCTATTTCTAGATTGGAATAAGCATGAGCAGAGACTTCTGCCTTCGGCGATGCATGGGACTTGGATTGGGTTGCGGATAGAGTTGTGAGAGCTACTCCGAAGGTTACAAGAAAGACCGAGGCAACCTGGACCCTTGAGTACCTAAGGACCGATCAGCGGGATTTCTGAGTATGTGACAGGGGCACTACCGTCGCTTCTCGAAGGCCCATCCCATGAGCATGTTCACCACGAGGCCGCCACTTCGGAAGATGATGTGTACTGCCATCGGGACGCGATATGCGAATGCAGCATTGTTAAGAAGGCTGATCAAAAGAAAAAGCAACACTTGGACAGCATATCGTGAAAGAGGGATGTGTCTATGCTTCAAGCGATATTGAAATGGATTGAGTGAAATTCTAGCCGCACGAGGATACAGCAAGGAGGGTTGATCGGGAACGGAGACGTCTAGCACTGTGTCCATTTTATTCGAGACGACAGGGTCCATTTGCAAGAGAACCTTGAAGGAGTTAGACGGATTGCTCTGTTCGGTAGGGTCACAAATAATTTGTAAAGGCTCCTTTTTCATTCGAACGAATGGATCTCCGTTGCCATTTCCCGGCTGGACTTCATGTCCGAAGTGAGCAAGTGTGCCTTCTACCAAGGGGGCGAGATCCTGTGCAAATGCTCGCGAGAGGCGATCATCTGGACAATATATGGAGATCGCTTTGGCTTGCGCGTCAAAAGACATATTAGCAACGCGTCGAAGAGCATCTTGCCGAGCGACGCGCATCGGAAGAAGAATAAGTTGCTTCCGCAATCCGACCAGCGCCACAAACAGAAATTGGGCGAACGTAATGAGCGTCCCTGCTGGCGGATACTGGGAGGTGATGACTTCTAGAGTCAGGGCATTGCTGCACGAGAATTTCCGGTTCAGATGACTTGTTCCATTCCAAGGGAAGTGAATGAGGCGCGCACCTGCAGCAACCCCCGAATATGAAGGAAAACGTGGTCAGGAGCTCCGCCACTGTTGCCCAGGAGCAGAACCGGAGAAGAGCGATGGTACCCATAGCCGTTCAGCAGCTGTCATATCGCAGGCTGTCTATATGTGTCTATAAGCATTAAGCTGTGCTGCAAAGTGTACGTGTAATGCAATGTTGCAAGCTGCGTATATCCGCGCACGTGCCCTCTTGATCTCACGTGCCGCGCAGCTGGACCAGATAGGATACGGCTCGGCTACTGAGTACGTACAAAGGATTCTACCAGTCTGCCGCCCGCATTTCTCCTCCCGCCTTAGTCCCTGTCGCCGTCGTGCACAGCGAGCCCGGTCGCCTGCTGGTTGCGCGGCGACGTCGGTAAATGCCCCCTCGACTCATCTGACTCATTTTCCTTTACGCTCTCCCTCGCTCTTCCCCGTTGGCTCTCCGACCGACGGGTGTCTCGCGCTATGGAGAACAAGGTCTTGCCTGCCGTTCGCGTCCCGACTGTCTCAGCTAGCGACGGAGGCGATGGAGGTGGCGTGACAGAGACGCCCATTGTCGACCTGCCGCCCTCTGAAAAATTCGGCTTTGCGTATCCTGACCAGCCGATGATCGCGCCTATCTTGTCCGCCAGCGCTCCTGACCCGGAGTCATCTGAGCCTGAGACGTCTGAGGCAGAGTCGCAAGGGTCAAGTAACACGCCGCCAATGGCTGGAATGAGGGATCCAGCTGACCATACGCCGGCAAACGAGACGCCAGACTCCAATCCGACTCCTGTGCCTTCGCCTTCTCCACCACGGCTTTCGCGTGCATTCTCGATGCCTTTGCCTTCACAACTTGGCCATCTCAAGAACCCGCATCGAACCCCTCCACAGGAGCAATATCTCGTGCCACCTTCTCCCCTCGTTCTGGCTCAATCACCGAACTCTCATTTACAAGAATTATCTGTCGAGCTTGCCGACTCGGTGCAGATGGTTATTCAGACTCTCCTGCAGATATCGCCACCACATCTCCTTGATCCTGCGAAGGAACAATTTGCCGCCTGTTCCCTTTCTGTGCCAAGCCCTTCTATTTCCGCCATGCTCACCGCCATGAAAAGTCTCAATTACATATCGGCAAATATGTCAACACTTGCTGATGATCTCAAAATGCAGCCGGAACTCTCGTCTCATGGGCGGGAATCCCCGCCTTTGCTTTCCCCTGCTCAAGATGACTTCGACACAGGTGAAATGCTACAGAGTGTGGGAGATGCCTTGAGTGGCATTGCAGCAGAGGCCGGTGTTGAGCTCGTTTTGTTTCATGCAGACGTGGGTATGAAGCATGTGAGCGTACGAGGCGACGAGTGTGGGATTTCCTATGTGTTAGCACATGTACGTCCTGCCGATTTTTTCTTGTCACTTTCTTATTCTGCTCTAGATGGTCCGGCAAATTTTAGATGCATCAAAGCCGGGGGACACGATTGAAGTCGGCTTACAAGTAAAGCCAGAAGTTGGGGATTCTAGAGAAGGAAGCCAAGGACCGTCGGGTTCCGAGGGCGGGAGTCGATCTTCATCTCGGGCTTCATCCCTACCTGGATATGACGGGCCTCTGCGGTGTACTTTCGAAGTGGGACACAAGTTTGGCTTATCGGATGCAATCCATGCTATGGAAAATAATCCCCAGATTACGGCAGGCACCTCACTCTTTCGAGCCAGACCCCGCCTGGACACGCTTCTGTTTCGACGAGTCCTCCATCGAGTGGGAGGGACCGTTAAGGAGGATTTGCAACCGAGACTGTTTTCTCCGGGACGTTCATGCGAGCTTTCTATCGTGCTTGAGCCAGGTTCGGAAGATATCCTGTCTCAATCGCCGAAATTAAGCGCTGAGGAGCTGTCCATGCGACAGCCGTACGCTAGCATGAATATTCAACTTGCTTCCGAACCGACTTTAGAAGAGCTAAACCAATTCGTGGAGCAGTTGAAAGGGAAGAAAGTTGCTCTGCACGCGAGTGCGAGGGGCTCTTTCGCGCATCATTTGACAAGTTATTTAACTGCTTGGGGTCTTGACGTGAGCCATATGACAATGACAGCCTCGGAGGATGATTTGTCGGATATTGTCTCTGCGGGCACAGCAGTGAGCTCCGACGATGGGCGCCATCGGATATCGCCAACAGTCAAGATGACCGACTCACCGGTTCCAATCGAGGTCAATCCCGTAGAGGAGCAATTACGTGAGAAGTCAACGAATGAAAGCGCTGCATTCGTTATTATTGACGACGACGTGGGTGCTCTGCGAAATCGCTTGGTGCAAATGCGCTCGGAGGCTCCCTTCAACCTAAGTCTGACGCAGCGTCCCAAACTGTCTGCTCACCACAGGCCAAAATCTTCTCCACAGATATTCCGTACAAAAGTTGTTAAGCCAACATTTAGCCCACAACAGTCCGCATTCCACCCTGTGATCATTCATTTTACCAGCCTACAGAATTATCGGCTAGTAAAGGACGTGATACACACCATTCTCTCAACGCCAAACCCGTCTAACTTTATTCCCGAAATTATCGTACTACCTAAACCAGCCGGTCCACGCCGGGTTCTTACTGCATTACGGACGGCTGTAGTCAAGCCAATTGTCGATCCTTTCTTTTCACCGATAGCAACGTCACCGATGAGTCCCACTGGCCAAGGAATCAATCCATTCTCCCCGTTTGGACCCGGTTCAAGTCCGTCACAGAAATCCAGTCGCCCACCCATCAGTCCAAGGACTGCATCGGATCGCTCATCTCGATCATCAAAAGACCTGGTTGAGCACGTTCCTCGTTTACCTCCCTCGCCTCTTCGCGAGTCGGACAGCTTGGAGTATTTCTCGGAAGCAGCAGAGAAATTAGGCACCTCTCCAAGCTCGGGCCTTGTAATTCAAAGTCCCGACGGGCAGCCCGCTGGAATTTTCTTTCACCCACGAGGTGCTGGATCACGCTTTCAACGGACGGACACTGGTGCGACTCTCGTGAATCCACCTAATTTGGTGCGGGATAGTGGAAATTTAAGGCCTCCGGGTGAAGTTCGACGGTCTATTTTGCAGCGGCGCGGCACTTCACAGGTACACGAGGGTGATATGTCTCCAGGCGAACGTCCTAAGCCGTTCAGTCGGCCGAAAGCTCCTGCGCGTAACCGGAGCGGTCTAGCATACTTTGGTGACATTGGCGGCACAACTCCTTCCGAGGTGAATATGCCAGACTCACCTGGGCAGCACTGGGTTCGGACACTCGACGAATTAGCGCCGCCTCCCGAGATTACAAGTACGGCCCCAACGCCGCCTGTCGGCACTTCTCTTGGCGATGACAGACCTTCAACCCAACCAAGCCCTAGTATCGCTTCCGATAGGAAATCCATGAGTCTGCCCACCTCGCCTGCTTCAAATAGGACTGTCTCCCCACCATCAGCGGGCACGAAGCGCAGCTATAGTCGAAGAGGGCCAGCAGATTCTCCTGGCACTTCAGGCACTCCGGTCCCTAGGAAAGGAAAAACAAGCGATGGCAATATCGTACCTCCTGTAAATGTGCTCATAGTAGAAGGTAAGCATTATTGGTGCACAGCTCGTTATTGTAGCTCAGTTTCTTGGTAGATAACCCAATCAACCAGACGATTCTTTCCACGTTCATGAGAAAGAAGAAAATCAAGTACGATGTGGCAAAGAACGGAGCGGAGGCTGTTGCAAAATGGAAGACGGGAGGTTTCCACCTGATATTGGTATGAGTATCTCCTTTGCCGTGGATAACATTCTTGACAATATATTCGTAGATGGATATCCAAATGCCTGTCATGGACGGAATAGAGGCTACGAAGGAAATTCGTCGATTAGAACGACAGGTACTCGGGAACACTTTTGCTTCAACTCCGCCTCTGGACGGCGAGCAGACACCCTCGGATGCAGCTTCGACGGATTCAAAGCTGAGCATGCATACACCGTTCAGGTCATCTGTCATCATAGTCGCCTTAACTGCGTCGTCGTTGCAAACGGACCGTGTAGCTGCCCTAGCAGCAGGTTGTAATGACTTTTTAACGAAGCCCGTGTCTCTGCTCTGGCTCAACAACAAGATCATCGAGTGGGGTTCGATTAAGGCCCTGCAGATGTGGGCAGACCTGAGACCTGAAGTTATGAAGAATATCTCTTCGGGGCAGGTCAACCAAGCGAAAAATGTTGCCAGTAAACTGCACGTTCCGGAACACCGTAGGACCCACTCCCCACCATTGGTGAAGCAAACTCCGAAGGGTACTAAGATACGCGTCTGATAAACTCGACAAGCTGTGTGACTCACGTGATGTAACCTTACCTTCCTAATGCAGCCTCCACAATGAGCACGAAACTCGTCCATCCAGAGACCCAAAACTCAAAAAGTAGCACCATTGATTTGTTGTATTAAGCCTTCTCTACAAGATGATGGAACAGAATTTTTTAAAAGTGAATATTGGCTGAGTTATTTTGCAAACTATGTTTTTTGCTCTAAATGCTGTAATTATACTTTTCCAGCAGTCTGGTAAATTTTTTAATTTTTTTCCTTCAGATTTCGCCACCATTAGATAAGGCTATATGACAAATAATTGCTATATATGTATATTACATAATAACATTTATAATATATAGTATTTGTCATAATGATCGGATGGTGTAATCATCTTGATAAAGCTACAAAATTATAGATACAGACTGTAATGGTCAAATATTTTATTGTTGTAATATTTAATTCTATCTGAAAATAGGCAAGATTCTCTTCTCTGTATTATATAGAATCATCTTTGGCTGAGGCAAAACTTCAAGTTGAAGTTACACTCTGAAATTTCGCCGTAAGGGTCCTTCCTAATTTGGTAAGCGTGGGTTGTGACCGTGACGTGACTAGCTTGTCGAGTTTATCAGACGCGTATCTTACCTCAGCACAGATCGACGCTATGCGAGCGCTCAGCTCTTCGGGAAGAGTCCCTCTCGCGCGAGTATTTGATGCTATTGAATGTAAGAGTGAATGTTATTTTTCTACACGCTATTGTGTCTTAAATCGGTTTGGCAGCGGATAACTCGGATACCGAGAATCGGACGGCCATGATGGGTTCTGTAGGTACCGAGGCAATCAATACGCCTGTTGTTGGAACGGAAAGCAGCGACTCTTCTGGTTCTTCCGGTAAGCAGGATCGCCATTTAGTTAGCATATGACGCTCATGTCGATGTTTCTTTAGTTCCTGCGGATACTCCTCCGGATGAAAAGCCGAAGTCATCGCCTTCTGCTTCACTGAGAGAAATTACTGGTCAGGAAGCTCTCCGAGCACACATCGAAGATTCGACGACCGAGGCTTACTCGACTGCGGAACGATATGCGTTAGGTCGACCTGTAATTCTTGGCGAAAGGACAATGAGTAGCGGTCAGGCGTCCATCGCAGCACTTATGCACGACGGCAATGATTCCCCTCAAGAGGAACATGTGACTGGTGATTCCTCTGCATCTGCACCTATCATTGACAACAAAGAAGGTCCGCATTTGGATCAAGAGCAACCAGATGACCCATGACGGTTTTGGGCGACCCTCGGACTCGTCCTACTGGTGCTGATCTATTTGGTCCAGATGCTCATTCTGAAGGTCGCCGGGAGAATACGTGGTTTATTTTATTGACCTTTAGAAGGTCCGCTCGTCACTGCGTCTCGCACCTGCTCATATACATATACGATCTCATGATGTCCTCTTATACCCTGCTTGACCTGTCCTGCTCTTCCCCATGTCAACACATGTCGCTGTCTCCATGTTTCGCTTAGGTCCGATCTGACACATTCTCTGGGGGTTATTGTACTCGTCTTTCATACTGAACTTTGATATACACAAATTGTACTTTATGGCATCCATCCTTCTTCCTCTTCCACCACTCCGTGTTTTATCTTATTGAAATTTCCTTTGTACAGACGTCTATACTCATTTGCTTCGCATACCGGTCATTTAGTATTAGGTGCTCTCTGTCTTTTCGTTCATGCATGGTTAGCATATTCGGTTTTCCTCGCTCCTCATATGTTCCCCTCCCTCATCTCTCTTCATTTTTCTTTGGGGTTTTAGGGTGCTCTGTTCTCATTAGGGTAGAATGTGTCGTTATGGCTTGCTATCATACACGATGTGCTAAAATAGTAGTACTGGCGGGCTATGTATAACGCAATAGGGCCTTGGTTTATCTGATGTTCTCAAAATATTTCCGAACGATTGCTTCCTGAGGAGTGCTATTTTCAGCAACGATGTCGTGCTTATATCAAGCAGCGAATAATTATAATACTCTAAATGAACTCTACTTCTACAGTCAATCCAGTTTCTTTCTGGACTGTATTTGCATGCCCAATTTGATAAGGTAGAGGCACAATAAACTCGACAAGCTTGTCACGTCACCGTCACAACCCTCGCTTGCCATATTAGGAAGGACCCTAGCGGCCAAAATCCAAGCCAAGGACCTCATGTCAAAAATCAAGACTCTTATTTCCCCATTTTTTATGTCAAATTTCTATAGAGACATGTTGACTATACTGTTTACATTTGCTAATAGATTGACTTTACTATTGAGTGTCAATCTGTCTTCTGAGACATTACAGTTCTGACAAATAACAGTGACTAATATAAGTGTCTTACCATATTTGGCATTATTAGTCATGTATTAGTCAGATATTTCTTTTTTAAGGGTGGCCAAAATTAAGATGCAAAAAATAAAAAAACTGTCAAACTCTACAAAAACAAAGAATACAGTGTTTAGTACAAAAAAAGGTATTTTTATATCTACTCAGTCAGTTTTGAGAAAATTGAAAATTTGTTCCACAGAATGATAAATACAACTATTAACTACTATTCTGTGGGAAAAAAAGTGTCATAAGGTTGGGAAAATATAAACTCAACCAACTGTAATGTAGTAGTACTAGCCTCTTTTAGACTATACAATGATGGACAAAATAACTTCCTCAAATAACCTCAAATGAATATTTGGGCAACATAGAATTGTAGAAAACATCTGTAGCTACAAATGTATGTTTTTATTTTTCAAAAATATTGTAACCTCTGAGGTTACACACATGACTTTAGTTAAGTATATAAAGGGCTATTTGTAGACACTTACATCACAAAAAAGTCTTAAGTATTGTATTTGCTTGTAATCCTATACATTTTGTACCTTTTATAAATTTTGTCAATGTTAATATAATCTTCATAGAGGGTTAAGCAAGGAAAGTACAATGTTAAATAAGTAAACAAGAATACTTGTAAAACTTGACAATTACAATTATAATAATATAAATTGACAAGTTATACAAGTGATTATAACATACTTCCTAAGATTACAAGGCTAAGACATACTTATTAATTTGTGAAAGTATAATATCTGCTTATAATGTCTACAAGTCATTACAAGTGTTTGAATAGCTTGCTTTTGCTTAGTATACAATTTTGTATCAAATAATTAATCAAATATAATTATATTTAAATTATAGAATACAAAAATAGTAAATAATACACTATTTCTACAGTCCCAACCCCTACACCACTAGCTGCCTCTGCCTCATTCTTCTGCGAGTGGGATTTGTGTTGGAAAAGGGTGAAT